CTGTACAATCACCAAAAAACTACTTAGTTTGATTCTGCTGTATAGATGGATTCCTCCCAGTGCCCCCATGTCTCCAAGTGCCCTCATGACTCAGTGCCCCCATGTGTCGATTACTCCAAGTCTCAGTGATCCTATGTATCACAGTGTCTCAATGCCCCATGTCTCCCTGTGTCCCCATGTCACTAGGACACTAGGAAGACAGGGAGACCTGGGGACACGGGGAGACCTAGGGACACGGAGACACCAGCGACACTGAGAGACTAGGGGACTCTGGCTGGGACACATGGGGACAATGGGAAAATAGGGGACACTTGAAGACATGGGGACACAGACACTAGAGACACTGGCTGGGGGACATGGGGACATTGAGACATGGGGGCACTGGGAGACATGGGGACACAGACATCAGGGCCACAGACACTGGGGACACTAGCTTGGAGACATGGGGACATTGTGACACGTGAGGCACTGAGAGACATGGAGGCACTAGGAGACATGGGGACAGTGAGACACTGGCAGACTAGGGGCACTGAGAGACTAGGGGTCACTGGGAGACTAGGGGTCACTGGAAGACTAGAGGGCACTGAGACACCAGGGACACTGGCTGGGAGACATGGGGTCACTGTGTCCCCATGTGTCTGTGTCATAATGTCTCCCAGTGTCCCTTAGTGTCTCAGTGCATGTCTCCTTGCAGCCTTCCCCCCCATCCCTTACTTCCCTGAGCTGTAGGCTGTCTCTGCAGGGTGGGAGTTGCTGTCTGGACTCTCTGTAGCTGCACCCCTGTAGATCAGTGAGATAGATAGGTATATGCTGGAACTTCCTATCCCTGCCTGTCTCCACACACAGCGACCCCTACTGGCCAGTGCTGGTATTGCATAGTAATCTCTTGTTTATAATGAGAAAAATACCAGCATTTGTATTGCCAGTATCACTATTGGCAATACAAATCAATATTGGCACTAGCCAGGCAGCCTCAAAAACTGGCTGTGCCAATAAAATAAAAGCCAGGTGGAATCCCTAAGAGTAGTGTGTGAAAAAAAATGTAAAAAATTTAAATAATTTTTTTTTTTAAATCAATGGGCCTATTCCATGGGCCTGGGCCTGGGCCTGGAGCTGCAGCTCCATCAGCCCCTATGTTAATCCGGCCCAGGCTAACCCATAAGAGATGCTGCCATGATTAGGCAGGAAAAATCATTTAACTGTTAATATACAAAGAAATCAGTGAATGAGAACTCTACAAATAGAATTATACATTCCTGCCACATCTGTTGGTGCTATGAAAGCATGTGATATTTTTGTTGATGCTTGATTTTGGTCCAACAGTTAAAAGGATCGAATTAAGAGACTATGGAAAATATTTATTTAAAACAATTTAGCAATTTTGACTCATCTAAAAAAAATATTAAAATATGTGATTAAAAAAAACAATGCAGGGCCATGAAAATCTTATATATGGACCATAGGGTTTTTTTTTCACATCAATCTACACTCAATACCTTATAATGACAAATCAAAAAACTGATTTTTGACACCATTGCAAATATATTAAACAGAAAAAATTGAAATATCAAACTGAAATAACTATTAAGTCACTTAATTAGTTGAAGAAACTTTGGCAGAAATTGGAGCTTCATGTCTTTTTGGGGATGATGTGAACATCTGCCAAATCGGTTAAATGCTGCAATGATGGTTGTCTGCAAGTATCTTCCATATCCATACATGATCTCTGGAGCACACCCAGAATGACTATTGGGCTTTCAGTCACCTCCATAATATACATACACACAGTCTCCTGCCAAACTGAACAAGACCATTCTCTGCCAGTTGCTCCATTTGGCAGGGCAGTCTTCTCTAGGAACAGTCCTGGTTGTTCCTAAATTCTTCAAGATTCATTTATGAAGGCTACTGTGCTCATGGGAACCTTTGATGTAGCCAAACTTTTTATTTTAACTTTTATCAGATCTGTTCCTTGAGACAGTGTTGTCTCTAGGTTCACAGTTGACAGTTCCTTGTTTTTTGATAGCAGAAAAAGGAGGGATCTGCACTCTCATCACCTGTAGATCTAGATGCACTGTACCTAGGGCGGGCAATCCCCTAATCCATATTATTATTATTGCCATGTATACAGCGCTAACAGATTCCATATCGCTTAACAATATTATGAGAGGGGGGATTTAAATATAAATAGGACAATTACAAGAAACCATACAGGAACAATAGGTTGAAGAGGACACTGCTCAGTAGGTGGGGTTTAAAACACATTAGGACAGGAAATAGCAATCAAATAAGGTGGGAGCTGAAGGAGAGAGTAGAGTGCTGCCCTTTAGGAGAGAGTATGTAAGGTAGAGGTTACTCTGGGAGGCCGTAAGCTTTTAAACAATTGAAGACTAGGGGAGAGACTGATGACGGTAGGCAGGCTATTCCATAGGACGTTAGCCACCCGCGAGAAGTCCTGCAAGCGTGAGTTGGCCGTACGGGTGCGAGCAGCGGACAGGAGAAGGTCACAGGCAGAGCGGAGAGACCGAGAAGGGGCATACCTGTGGATCTGTGAAGGGATTGTTCAGTGTTTTATAGGTATGGGTTAGCACTTTGAATTGACTCCTATAGGATACATGAAGCCAATGTAAGGACTGACAGAGGGGTGAGGTGTGAGAGGACCGACTAGAGAGGAAAATCAGTCTGGCGGCAGCATTCATTACAGACTGTAGTGAGGCAATACGGTTTTTGGGAAGACCAATTAGGAGAGGGTTACAATAATCCATGCAGGAAATTACTAGAGCATGGGCAAGTTTCTTGGTAGCATCTTGCATAAGAAAGGGGCGGATGCGGGCAATGTTTTTAAAATTGAATCTACAAGATACATAGATGTGAGGCTCAAAGGTGAGGCCAGAATCAAGTATGACGTCAAGACAGCACGCTTGCAAGGATGGACTTATGTGGATAATATTAATTTGAAGGGAGAGCAAAAGAGGAGGATCAGTATTAGGAGGAGGAAAGACAAGGAGCTCAGTTTTAGAGAGATTGAGTTTCAGAAAGCAGGAGGACATCCAGTCAGAGATGGAAGAAAGGCAAGCAGTGACACGTTGCAGGACGGCAGAGGAGAGGTCCGGGGAGGAGAGATAAATCTGGGTGTCATCAGTGTACAGGTGGTAGTGGAATCCAAAAGAGGTAATAAGTTTGCCAAGAGAGGAGGTATAAAGAGAAAATAGAAGGGACCAAGGACAGAGCCTTGGGGAACTCCAACCGAGACAGGACAATAGGAGGAGGTATCATTAGAAAGGGAGAGGCTGGATGAGCTAAGAGGAAAACCATAATAGGACAGAGTCACAGAGATTGAAGAGCTTGAAGAAGGAGAGCATGATTAACTGTGTCAAAGGCAGCAGAGATGTCAAGAAGAATTAGTATGGAGTAGTGGCCTTTGGATTTAGCTGCGATTAGGTCATTAGTAACTTTGATAAGAGCAGTCTCAGTAGAGTGGCAGAAGCCAGATTAAAGGGTGTCAATGAGAGAGTTGGAATTGAGGAAATGAGACATAGGGTAGAGACAAGTCTTTCCAGAAGCTTTGAAGAGAAAGGAAGCAGGGATATGGGACAATAGTTAGAGGGGGAGGACGGATAAAGAGATGTTTTTTTCAGGATAGCTACTACAGTGGCATCTTTAAGGTCAGCAGGGATAACGCCAGAAGAGAGAGAGCAGTTGAAGATGTGTGTTAAGGAAGGTGCAAGACAAGAGGAGAGAGATCTTATAAGGTGAGATGGGATAGGATCAAGCGGGCAAATGGTGTGGGGCGCGAGGAAAGGAGAAGCACAGCCACCTCTTGTTCAAAGAAAGTCTGAAGGGTAGGAAAGGCCTAATCTACGTTGATAAAGAGAAAGGCAGGGTGAGGAGAATTCTTTCCTTAGCTGTTCAATTCTTTCCTTGGCCACGGCAGAGTGAAGAAGAGAATTAAAGGTGTCAAAGATGCCTGGGATTGCGGAGGCATGAACAAGAGGATACGTATGACTGTTTGGTGAGGGCAAGGGCTGCGCTTTATGAACACAATATGAATCTATAACTGAGAAAGTCTGACTGGGTGCCAGACTTCCTCCAAGAGCGTTCAGCACAACGGGAGCATCTTTGCAGGTAGCGTGTTGATTTAGTATGCCACGGTTGGGTGCCGGTGGCCATCTTTAGCCGCAAATACATATAGCGGTGTTCGGTTGTCAAGTGCATGGAACTCAAGTCGGGCACTCAACGGCGCGAACACTGCTAGAACTTCCACCTCCATATAAGTTCAGTAAAATACGTAAGAACTGAATGGCTTTCAGTGCGAGCAAGCTCCCGAACAAGGACTAAAGACTGATTATGCTCACAAAACCGTTACATTCGGTACTTTTATTGTATTTATCACTCCCGGTCGGTCAAACTGAGACTTCCATGGAATTCCTGAACCCCTGAATCAATCTGGGTGATTTTTGAATATGTTGGTCCCCCAGATCGGGGCGATCAGAATACATGACTAGATTGGGGTTTCCATGTGTTTTGGAGGTATTTTTAATATGTGGTAAAAATTATGTTTTCTGTGAGATAATTTAGTTTAATACAGTACTTGACTCAATTATCTCCCAGGTATAGAGGAGGGATTGACCTACTTTGTATGGAAGTGTGTCCTGGACCTGAGAGCCAATGTGATTGCCTATTTGTTTTTACTATAGTCTACTCTCAGATCCAGAGGGGAGTGCCCCTTGCATAGGGATTGTCATAAAAGGCCAGTGTGGCTACCAATAAACCAGTTCCTGCTTACCCTCAACATAGAGTCTCATCTTATGTTTGTAGGGAACTGCTATACCTGCTATAATCACAGCTCTTGTAAGAGCTACACAGCTATACCAACCTTGGGATTTGGAAAGCATCAATCTGAATAGGGGGAAAGAACATCTCTGGTGGTGAAACCCCTCATCCTCTTGGGATGGCTGCCACAGGCAGTATTGAAGGAGGATTTAGAGGAAGAGTAACATGAGATGGGTATGAGATTGGTGTGGTTGCTTGAGTTTGTACGTGGTGAGTTTGCTGAGATGGGACCAGGGTTTGAAGAGACATCACCATCGGTTGGATCAGAAGAATAGAAAGTAAATGAAGGTGGGAGTAGGATTTGAAAGTTTTGTAGGAGGGTATGTATGTAGAGGATTTGGGAGGAGTTGGAGGAGATAGGCTAGAAAGGTATATGTTGAGTGCATGGGATGAATAGAGAGGGGGGGGGAGTAAAGTGGAAGTAAAGAAGATGGTGTTGCCAGAGACAGGTGAGCAGAAGGATAGTGATATTTTAGTAATGAGTGAAATTAGTATGAAAGTGAAAAATAGAAGGGGGAACATTATTTAGAGAAAATGTGTTTTGTTGTATAAATATGAAGATTATACATCTGTATGTATATAATCATAGGCATAAATATACACATATACCTATGGCTAAGGGTGCAGTTTGTTAACAGAAGGATTTCGGGTGAGGAGAGGTTTAGTGATTTGATTGGTGTGTTTTGAAGACCAGCTAATCTGCACTATCTTAAGCATGGGACCAGGAACCAGACAGAGACAGAACTAGATGCAAAAACACCTTTATTAGTAAATAACAAAGAAATTACCAAAAGCAAAGTCCAGGAGGCAAGCAGGGGTGCAGTCACCAAAGCTGGTAGTCAGACGAGCCAGGATCAGAAGAACGGAGAGCAGCGAAGTCAGGAACAAGGCCAGAGTCAGGAACCAGGAACAAACAGGAAACACAGGAACAAGGAGACTTCTGTGGAACAGGAAGCCACGCAAGGGTAAGGAGGTACTGGGATTTGCTGCTTAAATAGGCTGCACTGATTAGCAACAGGGTTGATTACTATTCTCAGGTGAGTAACCGTGGCAACATACTGAAGGAGCTGATCGTTAATCTCATCTGAAAACTCAGACACTGAAAAAGGAAGGGTTGCTGTTTAAAACGGCAAAGAAACCCTGACAGGTAATGACCATGGGGTGGCTTGGGCAGCCTTCCAGAGATGATACCGCTGCTTAGTAGATACTGCAGGGTTTGGTTGCTTGTGAGTAGTGGGTATAGTTAATCAATGTCTTCATACTTCAGCAGATTTATTGGAACGTTTCGATTTCTTGATAAAGATCCCTGAAGTGATCGAAACGTTGCTGTATCTGTCATGATTTTCCAATAAATCTGCTAATGTATGAAGACCTTGACTGCCTGGACTACTTTGCAGTTCCTTGTTTTTTGGTATGATTTTGTTTTTGATTTGCTATGCATTTACAGCTGTGAGAACAAGGGGGAAGGGTCAGCGCTAAATAACAAGAATAAGCAGCAACCCAAAAAAGGGAATCCCTCAAAACCCTTAATAAAACAAGCTAGAGGATGGGGGTAAGGGCTGCTCTAAGGGCTAGTAACATTAGTCTAAAACAATAAAAACCAGACCAAATGGTCTAAATGGATAAACAACAACAAGTAAACCTATGTAGATAATAAAAAATGGTGGAGAATAAAAACTTTCACTTGAGACAACAGAATAAAAATAGATCCGTCCAGATCTAAATATATTATGGAGGTAAATAAAAAGTCATATAAAAGTCTCACTAATATATCTGGAAAAGGTAGGGGTACAGTCCTCGGGAGTTGATCTGTCCGGATTGATAAAATATCCGTATATGTGGAGACAAAAGGAGAATACGACAAGCAGCCGGTAGTGTAATATTGTAAAATACAATGGTAAAATAGATAAAAGGAAGGTAATACACTCACATTTGTGAGAGCTTTAACCAGCTCTGGGGTGAATTATTCTCCACCGTTTTTTATTATCTACATAGGTTTACTTGTTGTTGTTTATCCATTTAGACCATTTGGTCTGGTTTTTATTGTTTTAGACTACTGTTACTATCCCTTAGCGCAGCTCTTACCCCCGTCCTATATTTACAGCTGTGAGACTAACTGACTTTGCCACAGATGGACTCCAATCAAAGTGTAGAAACATCTCAGAGATGATCCAGACAAATGAGATGCATCTGAGCTAAATTTTAAATGTCATAGTGTAAGAAATTATGACCCTTGTAGTTTCTAGGTTCGACTCTTACCTGGCTTGTCAATTCTGTAAGAAATTATAACCCTCTTAAAAGGTTATTCTTTTTGTGAATGTGTGACAAACAGGACACAAAGACAAGTGTATAAAATAAATGTATTGTTAATATTGATTTAGGATACTGTTACAGATTTATGCAATTCACATTATAACCATATCCAGTCCAAAACCGAAAGATACATAGTAAAAGGGCAATATTTAAACATTTAAATGAAGATCCTCACCTTGCGCCTTCATCTTTGGTAGTCTGGGATAGTTTCTATCAATTCACCATGGCACCTCTGCTTTGCCATGCTGTCCTCCCCAAAAGAGACAAAGGGAGAAAAGAGAGCAACCTCCTTGGCTTTTGTCCTTTTAAAGACTGTTTCTTGCAGTCCTTAACTACATGTCTCAGAATCCCATTCACCTCCCAAAAAGCGGTTAATCCAGCCCCCCTTTTCCAGAGAGCTCTGTCTTTACACAAGTCTTTCCCTTTGATCTCTTCCCTCCAGTTATACTACAACACCCTGTAAGAAGTGACCGATTAGGTTAGGTTTCTGAGTAAGTTGGACAGGATGGGTTGGGAAAACACATACTTCCATGGTTACACATAGATGTTAATAACTAAGATCTTCTGATCTTTTATTTTAGCTGGGTGCTGTAAAATGCAACAGAAAGTGCTGATCTTTGTCACACTGTTATCAAGTAGATGACCCCAAGTTGTGAAACCAGTCACATACACAGAAAGTTATTTACAATATTGCAGTTTTGCATATCAAGTTATTACATTCCCCACCTAGTGGGCGAATGACTCAAAATTAAAATGGCCCATCTTAAATAAATACAGTATTTTATTATGTATGTTTTGAATATATTTGTGTTTTACTGAGACACAAGTGATTTGACAACCACATATTTAAAATTTAGGGTACTGCGAGGCATAATTTAGCCAAATCATTGAGGCACTCACAGTCATCTTCTTTCACCAATAATTTGAAATCCTTCAGCCCTAATAGGCTCAGCATAGGCTCACTGCAACCATTTTATTTCACTCCCATCTCACTCGGTTACCTGTGCCACCAACACTGCTTCCACCACACAGTTCCTTTAACCTTGGCCTTGCATACTTTGAGCTTTTAGGCCTCTGACCTCTGCCACCTGGTGTATTTTCACACCAGAAGCTGTTCGCTTATATACAGTTGCAAGAAAAAGTATGTGAACCCTTTGGAATGATATGGATTTCTGCACAAATTGGTCATAAAATGTGATCTGACCATCATCTAAGTCACAACAATAGACAATCACAGTCTGCTTAAACTAATAACACACAAAGAATGAAATGTTGCCATGTTTTAATTGAACACACCATGTAAACATTCACAGTGCAGGTGGAAAAAGTATGTGAACCCTTGGATTTAATAACTGGTTGAACCTCCTTTGGCAGCAATAACTTCAACCAAACGTTTCCTGTAGTTGCAGATCAGACGTGCACAACGGTCAGGAGTAATTCTTGACCATTCCTCTTTACAGAACTGTTTCAGTTCAGCAATATTCTTGGGATGTCTGGTGTGAATCGCTTTCTTGAGGTCATGCCACAGCATCTCAATTGGGTTGAGGTCAGGACTCTGACTGGGCCACTTCAGAAGGCGTATTTTCTTCTGTTTAAGCCATTCTGTTGTTGATTTACTTCTATGCTTTGGGTCATTGTCCTGTTGCAACACCCATCTTCTGTTGAGCTGGTAGACAGATGGCCTTAAGTTCTCCTGCAAAATGTCTTGATAAACTTGGGAATTCATTTTTCCTTCAATGATGGCAATCTGTCCAGGCCCTGACGCAGCAAAGCAGCCCCAAACCATGATGCCCCCACCACCATATTTCACAGTTGGGATGAGGTTTTGATTTTGGTGTGCTGTGCCTTTTTTTTGCCACACATAGTGTTGTGTGTTTCTTCCAAACAACTCAACTTTGGTTTCATCTGTCCACAGAATATTTTGCCAGTACTGCTGTGGAACATCCAGGTGCTCTTGTGCAAACTGTAAACGTGCAGCAATGTTTTGTTTGGACAGCAGTGGCTTCCTCTGTGGTATCCTCCCATGAAATCCATTCTTGTTTAGTGTTTTACGTATTGTAGATTCGCTAACAGGGATGTTAGCATTTGCCAGTGACTTTTGTAAGTCTTTAGCTGACACTCTAGGATTCTTCTTCACCTCATTGAGCAGTCTGCGCTGTGCTCTTGCAGTCATCTTTACAGGACGGCCACTCCTAGGGAGAGTAGCAGCAGTGCTGAACTTTCTCCATTTATAGACAATTTGTCTTACCTTGGACTGATGAACAGCAAGGCTTTTGGAGATACCTTTATAACCCTTTCCAGCTTTATGCAAGTCAATAATTCTTAATCGTAGGTCTTCTGAGAGCTCTTTTTCTGCGAGGCATCATTCACATCAGGCAATGCTTCTTGAGAAAAGCAAACCCAGAACTGGTGTGTGTTTTTTATAGGGCAGGGCAACACTTCCAATCTCATCTCATTGATTGGACTCCAGTTGGCTGACATCTCACTCCAACTAGCTCTTGGAGATGTCATTAGTCTAGGGGTTCACATACTTTTTCCACCTGCACTGTGAATGTTTACATGGTGTGTTCAATAAAAACATGGCAACATTTCATTATTTGTGTGTTATTAGTTTAAGCAGACTGTGATTGTCTATTGTTGTGACTTAGATGATGATCAGATTACATTTTATGACCAATTTGTGCAGAAATCCATATCATTCCAAAGGGTTCACATACTTTTTCCTGCAACTGTAGTGTAATGAAGAGACCACACAAGGGAGAAACACAGTTTATTGTTTGTAGTGGGGTTCTGAGTGTGAAGGTGCACATTTATTGAAAGGTGTATAGCTGGAGTGGAGTTATTTACAATATTGCAGTTTGCATATCAATTTCTTACATTAGCAAATGGTCTGAATACATTGTTAGTTACGGAAATATTTGGATACTGACACAAGTTTTGTTATTTCTGCTGTTTATCACATTCAAGTTAAATATTGAAAATTGGCCTAAAGTGCAGTCTCTCAACTTTAATTTGAGGTTATTCACATCCAAATTGGAGGAAGGGTTTAGGAATTACAGCTCTTTGTATGTAATATATAGCCCACTCTATTTCAAGGGACCAAAGGTAATTAGGCAGTTGACTCAAAAGCTGTTACATGGACCGGTGTGGGCTATTCCTTTGTTATTTCTTCATCAATTAAGCAGGTAACCATTATTTTTTTTAATAGCCACACACCTGACAGCACCCACACTCACACCCTTAAAATGTACCATTTCCCTCTTTTTTTTTTTTTAAATGTTGTGAAGTATACTATAGTTCTCCATTTTATGATGAGATGTGATTTAATTAGTTTACAATCACCTATGCATAGTCTGGTCAGTGATTTCAACTATAGCTGTGTTCTTATGAAAACAATCATCAGAACACCGTTTTGACTTCTCATGCTTACATTGGCCAAGTTGGTGAGAATTTGGAATACCATGAATGTGTATGACCCTACTTTTTGGTTTACTATGAAACTACAATTCTCCCCATATATCTTGGCTGAGCCGTGTTTTAATAGCCTTACAAAGGCTTAAATTTGGATTTGCTTATGTTTCTCTTCTTAGTTATAAAATGAGTACAACGTACCAACCACCTAACTGATTAACTATATTATTAAACTATATATTTTATTAATAAAGCTATGTACTTGCAAAAAATAAATTTTATTTTATTTCAAAGGTATCTTCTGCTGCTTCAGATGAACTTCAAAGAGATTCAGAATTACAAAGAAAAAATGAAGAAAAAGAGGCCAAACAGCAATCAATGAATCCACCTGCACTGCTGAAACCACCCCCTCCACCTCCCATTGTAAAAAAATCCACAACCAAGGTCTCACCAGTTTTCACAAACAACTCTGTAGAAGCAAGAGAGGCCTTAATGGAAGCTATTCGCTCTGGCAGTGGTGCATCAAAATTAAAAAAGGTAGAGTTGCATAGCCCAAGCATATATTGTATATAACATATGTATAGAATTAACATATGTTAATATGTTAACATATGTTAATTCTCCCTATTCACACCTTCCTGCATGTGACTTGTACAGCCTTCTTCAACACTCCCTTTAAAGTGAGATCTAATGTTTACACTTCCTTTATTTAATTTAGAATTTTGTATCTTGTGCACTGTTAATATCTTGGTAGGCCTTGCAGGCTCTTTTTTCTGGGAGATGCCTATTGTTTAGGTATCCTTTGGTGGGGGATGGAAGGGTCCAGACAAGTGATCTTCATTAGAGTGAGTGAACCTAAACTGATGGATTGGAGGGTAGCTGACATTTAATATTGATGCGTGTTTTTTTAAGTGAAAACTCCACGGTTATTAGTTCAGGGAACCCAGAGTCAGCGGGAATGCGTCCCCCCAGCACTGATAGCCAAGTGGCCAACATCATGTCCTCTCTAACACCATGCATGCACGAGGGCAACTGCAGTCTGAACCTTTCCCACCATAACCCCTTCTATTAAATGATATATAGAGAGTTAACGTAGCAATGCACAGCTCTGTGTGTGTATGTAGACTCATTTTTGTTCTAGAGATCTATATATAAACTGTACACTACAGGGCTCCCTTTAACCAATGCTGCCATAAAGCATGCTTGCAATTTAAGGTGAATATCTTTATCCTTTTGTACAGGAACTATTGACCTGAGTATTTGGTGTGTTTCACTGATCATGAATTAGTGAGATAACATCCTTTTTCTGTAGACTCACGTCTATCATTTTTCCACCCTAGTATTGTCATATCCACCATTATTTCCTAGACACATTTCTACAGGCTGGTGATGCAGTTCCTGTCATTTCTTTAGGAAAGCATATAATTTATGCTTCATTCCACCCCCCTCCCCATGACTCATATCCTGCAACTGTAAAAAAGTTCTCAGTGAATACTTTTCTAGCAACCTATTCATTACCCCTACTTATACCTTTTGTGTCACTATACTCCATTCACTCTAGCATGTAAGCTCATTGAGCAGGGCCCTCAACCCCTTTGTTCCTGTGCGTCCATTTGTCTGGTTACAATTATGTGTCTGTTAGTCCACCTATTTGCTGGCGCTATTTAAATAATAAAATAATAATAATGTCTACTGCTGTAGTATATAGCATTCCAATGCTAGAGAGAGTTATCCGTTCACTAACAAAACAGGTATATCTCTCAGTGTGCGTGTGTGTTATTGAATGTGTGAGTGAGTGAATGAATGAGTGTGTGTGTGTCTGTCAGTGTGTCTGTCTGTTAGTGAGTCTGTGTGTATATCTGTGAGTGTGTCTCTCAGTGTGTGTCTGTGAGTGAGTGAGTGTATGTCTGTCAGTGTGTGAGTGATTGTGTGTGTCTGTGAGGCAGCCTGTGTGTGCTGCATGGACAGTGGTTTAACTTATAAATGGAAGAAATGGTCAGTTAAGCAATGAGGCTTAGAGAATGATCTATACACAAACACTGCTTAAATAAGCTAAATTTATTTTGGTGACTATAGTGCCCCTTTAAGATTTCCAATTGATTCAATACTGTTAGAACAACTTTCCAAATGATTTATGTACAGAAGTCAACATTAACGTGTATGGGACATTTTGTAAATAAATCATTTTGAAAAAAAATTCTCACAGTATTGAATCATTTGGAAAGTGTATTAAATCAAGGCCTTGGTCCTGTGGCAAAAAAATAAATATATAATTTCCTTTTTTTATCTTCATCAGAGCTATTATTTATTATGCACCATTTGTAAACATTGAACTTCATATTTCTCTGATATATTTGTCGCCAGGATTGCAGTCTGCTTGAACCATATGGAAACAATATTTGAAATTAAAATCTTCTCAGTCTAAAAGCCCTGTGCACAGTTATGAAAAGTAATGTAAAAAGAAAACTGTGTGGTTTGAGAAGAAAAATATTGACAGGCAGCATGCAATCTGCTTGCGCTGTTCCATAAATTTATATATGAACTTTGTCATTTAAGCAGCCCTCAACAGTTACTTTTCCCAGAGAAGACTATAGAGATTTAAGCATTATAGTAATTAATCTGTTTTATGCACTGATTAGCTTTTAATAAAATATAGCATCATCTATAACTTGTTTCAGAGATCTCAGTTACAAAAAACTAAATATTGTAGATCACCAATGTGAATTGCATGTCAAACATGAAATTGTTTATTGTGAGGATTAATATGGATTTTGGATCCCATTATACATTCACATGAACAATTTTACCATGGACAAGTTACATATATAGCTATTTTTTATATAGCTATTTTTACACTATTTTTAGCTGACTGACTCAATGAATATTTTTGTTCAGTGTTTACAGATGAAAATGAAGGAAAGGGGCCTCAGTTAGGAAAAAGGACACAAGTAATTTGTTACATGTGAGTTTACAGAGGAAAAACAAATAAGTCCATGGGACCTGATCGAATACACCCAAAGTTATTAAAAGAGTTTAGCGGTGTACTAGCAAAACCATTAACAGATTTATTTAACCAATCATTGTTAACAGGAGTAATCCCAGAAGATTGGAAGTTAGCGAATGTTGTGCCCATTCAGAAGAAAGATTGTAGGGAGGAGTCGGGCAACTATAGGCCAGTAAGCCTTACTTCAGTAGTGGGGAAAGTAATGGAAACCATGTTAAAGGATAGGATTGTTGAACATCTAAAATCACATGGATTTCAAGATCAGTGACAACATGGGTTTACTTCAGGGAGATCATGCCAAAGTAATCTTATTGATATTTTTGATTGGGTAACTAAAATATTAGATCAGGGTGGTGCAGTAGACATTGCTTACCTAGACTTCAGTAAGGCTTTTGACACTGTTGCGCACAGAAGGCTTATCAATAAACTACAATTTTTAAGTTTGGGTTCCAATATTGTTGAATGGGTAAGGCAGTGTCCGAGTGACAGGCAACAGGGGGTTGTAGTAAATGGAGTATATTCGAAGCATGGGCTTGTCACCAATGGGTTACCTCAGGGATCTGTACTTGGACCCATTCTATTTAATATTTTTATTAGTGATAGTGCAGAAGGTCTTGATGGTAAGGTATGTCTGATGATACTAAGATATGTAAAAATTAAATAAGGTAGGCACACTCAATATAAAATATATGCAAGCTCCCAAGTGGAGCTCTGTGAAAATACAATATGGGGTGCTCACTCACATAAGGCTTTATCCCCAAAAGCCCAAATTCATGTAAATAACAATAGAGTAAGGAGCACAACCATCAATAGTAATAAAACAATCTTTATTAAGTGGGTATACTCTATAAGAATATCACATAACATAAAGATCCAAAATATAGGATCATGTCACGCTATGCAGCAATGATCAGAAAAATTATGAAAATATAAGTATAAACACCAAAAGCGTCTTATATGAATAACAGAGTAGCAATATACAAAAATAGAGAAATAAAATATCAGTCTAATCCAACCCCACAAACATAGATATAAATATACAAAACTATAGAACAATAAGCGTGCCAGACCTAGTGAGAAGCAGGGACAGAGTCAGTCACCAAAACACCCCCAACGTTTCTGCAAAAATGCCTTTATCAAGGGAGCATGTTGAGAGAAACTAAATCCTGTTATTATATACCCAAAATAAAACACAAAAATTGAAAAAACCTGAAAAAAATGGGTGGCCACCCATGATGACTGGGATCCTCCCAACCATGATACACCTGTTCATGGTTGTCAAGGGAACCAGAAAGCCCTGACCTATATACATATCCAAATGCAGATTCACAAGTAAAATACATAAACAAAAATACTTAATATAAAGATACAAAATCGACATGAAACATGCAGGCAAGATATTAAGTATGCATGTAGTGGATATAGTAGAAACATATTATAATATAAACAAGAATATGAATATTACATCAGTATTGAGATAAAGATATAAAGATCAATTGTCCCAAATGGTAAGGCAGTTTGAAAAAAATAAAAAATAAATAAAAACATAAAAAAGAGAAACAATCAAAAGTAAATGTCACAAAATACCTGGTGCAGAGATTTGATCTACAAGCTTAAACTGATGCAAAGAGGAATGAAAATATAGACCGGAGGCGTGAGCAGCATCAAACGATTAAAAATCGCCGAACCCGGAAGTAAGCTGAATCTGGTGGAATGCACATGCGTTCCAATATAGAAATATGTCTGTTCGCATGCTGTGCCCATGCACACTCAGTCGGCACTGGTGAGACCTCACTTGGAGTATTGTACGCAGTACTGGAGACCATATCTCCAGGAGGATATCAATAATTTAGAGAGAGTTCAGAGAAGGGCTACTAAACTGGTTCATGGATTGCAGGATAAAACTTACAAGGAAAGGTTAAAGGAGCTTAACATGGATAGCTTGGCGGAAAGACGAGACAGAAGGGATATGAGAGAAACATTTAAATACATAGAGGGAATCAACACCGTAAAGGAGGAGACTAATAGAAGAAAAATTACCACAACAAGAGGACTTAGTCTTAAATTAGAGAGACAAATGTTTAAAATTAATATCAGGAAATATTACTTTACTGATAGAGTAGTGGATGCATGGAATAGCCTTCCAGCTGAAGTGGTAGAGGTTAACACAGTAAAGGAGTTTAAGCATGCATGGGGGAAAGGCATAAGGCTATCCTAGCTATAAGATAAGGCCAGGGACTAATGAAAGTATTTAGAAAATTGGGAAGACTAGATTGGGCCGAATGGTTCTTATCTGCCGTCACATTCTATGTTTCTATATTAAGAATGATTACATTTCTAGGATGGCTCCACTGTATCTGAGTTAATTAGATCAAGTATCTCATTGTAGCCCCATGGTAATATGCTAGTCAGCATGAAGTTACATCATAATTATGTAGTTATGAAAAAAGACTTGTATACATCCTGCTGAACGTTTTCCACATTTGTTTCTACTGTTGATCCAAAAGTAGGAAAAAAAACAAACAAAAAACCCTGTAGATGTGTAAAGTGCTTTTCAATTATCCAACAAACTAGGATAAAAAGAACCTGTTAACCTGTATCGTGAGAACACACTGTCTAATATATACACACACACATTGCCTAATACATACACTGCCTCACCCACACACACACAAACACAAACTAGGGTATGGATTTTTTTTTTTAAATCTATTTGTCCAAAGGGACTAAAGTTGACCCATACACACACTGACTCATGCACAAACACACTGCACACAAACTGACTCATGCATAAACACACTGCACACAGGTGCACACTGACCCATACACACATAAACTACACATTCTCTGACACTCACATACAGCACAGATTACCAGCAGCAGCCTGTCCCATGCTTACTATGCCTTTACAGCGTGTTGGCTGACGGTTATTACGTCATTCTAAATCCCGGCAGCAATGAATCCTGAGCATTGTGAGGAGCGGGTGGATGCTGCTGCTCCTCCTCACACTTCCCTGTGAGCTGCTTCAGGTCCAGTTACAGCATTCCAGTATGCCTGCTGGAAATACACTGCCCAGAGATACACCACCTCCACTATAGGCAGCACCAAAAGATTAAAAAGATCTTCCTATTCAACGCCCTTAACAGCATGTCTGGGGCTTTATAAAATCCACATCTTTGATACTCACAAACTGCATAATACATACATTGAAATACATACATACACCAACACACAAACACACACTCACACACTGTTTCCTCTAAGTCAGCTATGCTTTTTTTTCAGTACTCTGATTTGAATTTTAAATCCGGGGCAGGGCCTGACTAGCATGGAGGACAGACGTGCTCTAGCAGAGCTCCTCAACAACCAAGGCAATTAATGGCACTTCTAGCCACACAAAGCCTGCAACAAGCGACAAAGCTCGACCTACTTCATCCACAATTGTGCTGGACACCGCTGCTGTGATCTGTGACTCACCTGATGCCTGTTAGGCGCACTCCTCACAGCATGAGGCCTAGCGTGTGGCGGCCGGGGGAGGCGGCCGATCTCTTGGTCCGGCAACGCATGGTGATAACACGAAACGAGCAAAAGCCCCGCTACTCCCCCCCGGACCATCAGGGGTAGAAATAGGACAGGAATGCTTAGCCAGTTTCACACCTTACTTTTACTCTACATATATAGACTAAAGCATGTCTGAAACTGCCAGTAGATGTGGGCGACTATTTGTATTTGTATCCATGTAAATGTATCTGCATGTGCCTCGACCCTCTCATACAGGTCGGGATTAACTATTATGTCACACCTTTAGATAAGCAACTCGACTTGTATGCCTTGCTAGCCTACTAAACAATAAGAGAAATCTAATGGTTGAACCTTACTCCTACTAACACAAAAATGTGCCTGACTAGCAACTGTCACAACCTGTATTGCATGCTGAACTTATATATATCTTGATACTGCTGTTGTGGCGAACCAAGGCTGTTTGTTAAATTTGTGCACAAAAAATAAAGAAAATTTTAAATAATTTTTGAATTATCACTTTAATGTGCCTCGACCCTCTCATACAGATTGGGATTAACTATTATGTCACACCTTTAGATAAGCAACTCGACTTGTATGCCTTGCTAGCCTACTAAACAATAAGAGAAATCTAAAGGATTGCATTTACCATCCCATCTGTTCCGCTTTGATACCTCACATTGTTATGAGGTATATGATATTGGTAACTTTGTAGGGGTAGCTGCATGTGTACATGGAAGAACATGCTGAAATGTCATAAACCTACTCTCCTGTCTTCTGATTCAGACACAGCCGCTACTCGGAAATCCTGACAGTGAATATTCTTGGCAAAACAAAAATGGAGCTGCACAAAGGTCATACTTGGGTTCTCTGCAGTGCAGCAGGCTCAGTGGGCCCTGCATCTATCACTGTTGCATACCACTTGGCTGGCACCAGGATTATATCTTAATATCTTTATGTAACAATGTATTTTATCAATATATTTTTTTTAGATTCCCATTCCTCCCTATTTTACAGCCGTCTGTTGCTGTTCAAAATCGCCTAATAGAAAATGATGCAGGCAGAAATCACACATGATTTTGAAAACCTTACTCACAAACAGGTTATCACACTAATATTCTATATTTTGGTTTTTTTCCTCTACTATGTTAGTAGCAGCAGAAACTTCCATCAGCAACAATAATAACAATGTTTCAAGTATGTTTAAATTTTCTAATGAATCAAGAAATTATTTATCTGTCCAGAAGCATATTTATCAGTAAATGTACTACGTCTGGTCCTGGCACAGCAGGTGCATGGGAAAGCATTTTACAAGTCTATAGCTTGTACATGTGAAACAAATACATAATTGCACATAGACATTTGTAGGAGGCATGTTTGAGTGATCAAATGAAAACATGTATTGGAGGAGGTTGATGTATTGGAGGAGGTTGGGCCTAGGTCAGAGAGAAAGTGCATCACTGTAGCTATTACAGCTGGTTTATTGGTTTTTGTGTCCAGTTGATAAGAACAGATATATAGTTCTCTTGTTTATTTACAACCACAGATGTTCCTTTCCCACCTCCAAATGCTTGAGAAAATATTATTTGGCCTTGTCCTTCTTTTCTTATTTATCAAACAAATGAGGACTGATATATACCTCAAACTTGCACAGAACATTATGTGCCAATTAAATTTGTACTTCTAGTCAACATCTATCTTCATAAGATATTGTTTTTTTTTTTCCAACATAGACTTTGATTTAGCCCTTTATTGATACAGCTTCAGTTTGCTTGCATTGTACTAATGGACACAAGCATTTTTGCTATGTGTGTTCAACCGCAATTACCATCTTTTTCATGTTTTACACTAACACATATTAGATGCTATTTTTAAAGGATTAAAAAGGGGCTTTTTAGGATGTGTCATATACATATATAAATATTCTTAATATAAAAACATGCAAAAAAAAACAAAATGTTTTCTGTGTGCCTATAGCTACTGTGGCAGAGTTCCTGATGCTTTTTGCTATGTCTCTGCCACAATGTCGGTGCGCCAATGTCATGACACACATGATGTGAGATCACTTTATTTTAAACGGGAGTGGACTAAAAAGTCCTAATTGGGAGAGTTAACATTGAAAATGGGAAAGGGGGGACCCTACCTTTAATAATCCTAAGGGAGAACAGGAATATAAAACAGGACATAGAGAGAGAGAGACAAAAAAGGTATACATATAATGTGTATGTATATCCAGCTAGGTAATTCAAGATCAGCTTAACAACTAGTCAGGTCTAAGCCTATACTATGCGCTGTCCCAGCAATTGGACAAAAAAATCAGGTATAGCTAGAAGTAAGGTATGGAATCCTAGGCTTGAGAGGAAGGAGTTAATTACCCCAAAATAATTCCTTTTGCAGCCCCCAAACCAAAACTCTGAGAGTAGGCCTGTACCTATCACCTCTGCACTGTGGACTAACCACAGGTGCCTACTTGAACCTCTCTCCTTTCCTGAACGAAAATAAAATGGTAAATAAAACTTAGCTAAATAAGTGCATAAGTGCTACCAAGTGGTAAGGTGAAAAACAAAAAAAGGAAATAGCTCGACGTGCGTTTCGGTGTGTTAGCAAGCCGTCGTCACGAGCAGTGTCTGTGGACTGGCTCCAGTATCTGTTTTATAAGTCCATTATTGGTAATCAACCATTAAGTGTTAGTTACTGTGTAAAAGGGGGTATGTAGATGCCACCTTCTCATGATCGGTATGTTTCCATAGTGCTTATTGGTCTCGTCCACTGAGGGGAGGTATTGGATCCGGTATCTGTCAATCGGAAAAGCACCTCTTCTCTGTGTTCATTGGACGCTGCCCACGTGGGGCGGGTATATTAGCACTCATCTATGTATGACGGTCGGGAGGTGTGGCTAAAGCTACTTTCTGTGCTCATTGGGCTCTGCCCACGTGGGGCGGGTATGTTGACATGCATCTAGGTGTGACGGTTGGGAGGTGTGGCTAAATGACTTTGTCTCCTCGATTACTGGTTATTAGTTCCGTGGGCTCCCACATAGAAGCCCAGATGGGTGTGTGTCTGACGGCTTAACCCTCTGCCCTTATTACAGACTGACCGGATTTCTTCCTATGAAAAGAGAAGAAAAATAAATAAATATAAGGATACAATAAAATCTGAGTCTCTCTTTAACTCACTCATCATGGGTCTTGTACAGTCATTTATTCAAAAGGATACTTCCCTCAGATCTCGAGTCTGCAACAAACCCCTCACCCTTCACGATCACAAAAACAAATTTTAAGTTTAGAGGAAGAAGTGGCAGACGCGAACAAGAGAGAAAGATTAGAAAGACAATAATTACCCAGAATAACCAATGCAGTGGCATTTTTAATTCTCACAAAAAACCCTAACTATTGCACAGATATAACCCTTTTAAACCATTCAAAGCTTTTATTGATGTCAACAAATTTTACCCAGCACAATGTATATAGAAGAAGCACACAGGCAATTGAATGACACAAACGTCTATGAAAGACTTTCATCAGATCCCACTATTACCATACAAACTATTTTATCTTGTTTTTTTTTAAAAGGATTAGATTTAGGAATTTTAAATAAACATGAATTAAATTTCCTGAATAAGAAATACCCCATTGTCCCTGTTATTTACTTCCTTCAGAAAATACACAAGAACGAAAAGACACCCCCAGGTAGACCCATAGTATCGGTATAGGCTCCCTCCTTTTTAATCTTTCTCAGTGTATCGATACCCTCCTCCAACCCTCCGTCAAACACATGAAGTCATATTTACAAGATTCAATGTCACTTTTAAACATTTTAAATAATTGTAATTGGGAACCAAATTTTATGCTAGTCACCTCCGACGTACAATCCCTCTATACCATTATACCTCATACTTGTTTTTGTCTTGTATGTTAGAAGTTCATCCCTATTTCTGTGTTTAATCATATTAATAGTATCTAGTAAATCTGTCTCTGGATATTTTTTTTCAACAAATTTGTTGGGCAGACTAGATGGGCCGAATGGTTCTTATCTGCCGTCACATTCTATGTTTCTATAACATAGGATGTAAAGCCATTAAATACATTTTAACCAAAGAAAAAATAATCTCTGAGGTACAAATAGACTTTATATCAGAGGGTATAAATATTATTTAAAAAAAAAACAATTACATCTGGTTCCTCAACTCATTTTACCTTCAGAAAAGAGGGAATAACATGGGCACCAGGTTTGCCCTTAGCTATGCCAATGTATTCATGTCAGACTGGGAATCTACAGCTATTTATGACGATCACACTTGGAGGGCAAACCTGGTCTCAGATTTTAGATACATTGATTACCTCTTTTTTATCTGGGATGGATCCGAAGATAGTCTTATCTCTTTTATAAATAATCTCAACACCAATAATAGAGGTATAATTTTAACACACAAATTCAATAGGGAACAAATCAACTTTTTAGATCTAAATATATTTATTTAAAATGGGCAATTACAAACAAACTATTTTTCAAAAAAGTCTGCATTAATACGGCCATTGATAGATCAAGTTGCCACTATAAACCTTGGCTGGACAGTGCTCCCCGAAGCCAGTTTGTACGCCTATGTAGGAATTGTACTGACCTTGAAGACTTTAATGAACAAGCAAAAGTTTTAAAAAAACAAATTTGTTGAAAAAAAATATCCAGAGACAGATTTACTAGATACTATTAATGTGATTAAACACAGAAATAGGGATGAACTTATAACATACAAGACAAAAACAAGTAATGAATCCATACCTCTCCCTATCCCTTTTAATTATAATAACAAAAATGGTGAAATTAAAAAGATTGTTAAAAAACATTGGCACATTTTAAGACACAATGACAAACTTAGCCAAATTATACCTGAAAAGCCTGATATAGTTTTTAGAGGAGCTCCTAATTTTAGATCAATTTTAACCACAAATTTTACCAAAGAAATTACACAAAAAAACTCAGCATCTTTTTTTCCCCAAGTCAAAGATTTTTATAACTGCAAATCATGTATTGTATGTAAAACCACTGATTCTACTGTACAGTGTAAAACCACACAATTCACTTCAAATAGGACTAAAATGACCTACAATATTAAAGAATGTATTAACTGCCGTATGAAAAATGTAATTTATCTGCTTGAATGCCCATGTGGCTTCCAGTATGTTGGAATGACCACAAGGTGCTTAAAAACTAGGCTAAGTGAACATTGCAGAAATATAAAAAATGGATACTTGAATCACTCTGTATCCAAACACTTTATTAAGCATAATAAATATCCTAAAATGCTGAAATGTATGGGGATTAAAAAATGTACGCTACCTTGGAGGGGAGGTGATATGAATAAAATTCTAGGTAAAACTTAAATGGAATGGGTCTACAAGTTAGAGACTCTTACACCCCATGGTTTAAATGCAGACTTTGACCTGTTTAACTTCTTGTAATTGTATATATAGATACCAATATTAACTCTCAAAATGTAATGTTTTATATTGTATATTTTATTTTATTTTATGTATGCTTCAATTAATATGAACATATTGTTATTTAGCAAGTCTATGCTACATAGTCTTATACATATATTTTTATACATTTATATAATGAAAATGTTCCTTTATTATTTCTGTCATGAGTAAATCAATGCTACATATATTTATATACTTTTATACATATTTATATACCTTTATGTATTTTAAAATTTTCTATGTTCGTTTAATGTTTTACATGACCACCCTTCCATTCCTGTTTTTCATCTATTGTCATACTCCTTCATTATTCTTCCTCCCAATATAGTGGCATTATTAGTTCTAACACTCCCATTCCCCTCCTACTTTGACTCTGACGACACGATCATTACATGCCGCCGTCAATCATTCTCACCCCAAGCGGCATAATCACTATGCTTGCCGCACCTCCATCCTTCCCCTTCTGTAAGGCACATCCCCCTCACACCAGCTAATATTTACCCACACAACTACAGTTCCCAATGGGCTTTGCTCCTATTACTGCTGGTCACGTGATGACCCGTTTTTAACTCATATTTCACTACACAAGCCTTGTTTAAATATGTATTTATACCACTATGTTTACATTTGTATACTCTATGAAGTTCTTATGTGTTTTAATGTTTTTATATTCTGTCTCCTGATTGGCTGATACAACTTTTGGCTCCAATTTTACATTTATAAGCCTTTATTTAAACTCCTTATGCCAGGTATGATGTCTTATACCATTTTGAAGAAGCCTTATTAGGTGAAACGCGTTAATGGTTTTAAATTTTGTATTTTAACAATAAAAGTTTTTTGGTTACTCTTTTTCTGTACCAATTCTCTTTTTATTGTATTTTATATGCACTTTTTATTTTTACTCTTCCTGGCACTTTTTACTATATCCTGTACTCAAGCAATCTGAGGTGGGGATTATTCCACCAATGCTGTGTAAATAGAGCAGTATCTTCTGCTCTATGCTTGTGAGTATATTATATATATATATATATATATACATATATATATATATATATATATTATCACTCATTCGTTACATATTGAGAGCACTGTTGCTGTTTTTATATATCCTGGAACACTGAACAAATCAGACTGGATTGACTGACGTACCTCTCCAATGTATCCTATAGCAGGGATTATAACGCCAAACGCCCTTCACTCCAGAGCTGGTTAGAGCACTCATAAATGTGAGTTTATTATCTTCTTTTTACTAATTTTTACCATTGGATCTAGACTATATCACACTATTGGCTGTTTGTCGTGTTTTCCCTTTGTCTCTCCACATATACGGATATTTTAACCATCCGGACGGATCAACTCCTGAGGATTGCACCCCTACCTTATCCTGATATATTAGTGAGACTTTTATATGACTTTTATCTGAATATTTTATTATCCGAATGGAGCAACTCCTGAGGATCTCCCCCTTTTATCTGTTGTCTTAGCGAGATATTTTACCAATTTTTAAATGGAGATAAAACAAGGCCTACCTACTTGTTGTTTTATCTCCATTTAGACCATTTGGTCTGGTTTTCTTTGGTATAGACTACTGTAACTATCTCTGTGCGCAGCCCTTACGCCTTTCACATCTTTCACCTTGTTTTTATTAGCGTCTTGAGGGATTCCTTTTTTTGGGTTGCTGCCCCTTATTCTGTTATTTAGCGCTGACTCTTCCCCTCTGTTCTCATCAAGTTCAACCATAAAACATTTTTTTTATATTGTTGATCCAAAAGAAGGCAAAAATCCTAATTGAAGCCATTTCCAATTATGCTACACAAATGTGAAACATTCTTTCTCAGATTTCTCCTTGGAAATGAGAGAAATTTCAATGTATTCTTCCTGTGAAAATATTATATATGTATAAATATATCAATGACCTGCTTACATAAATATCAATTGTCATAAACGTTAACTCGCAAGTTGGAGTAAACTTGGAATTAATAATAACATTAATAACTAAAAATAATAACAAAATAATAACTTAAAAACTGAGTGTAAAGTCCACACTCCTTGCTTTTGGCAATTCAATAATATTTATTAATAGAGGCTAATCAAACAAATAAACAATACAAATACATTTGAAATAAGCTAGTATATGTTACTACCAAAACTAGTCATTGATTGAATGGAAAGTAGATTAAATTAACATAGTAAAACAGGCATAGACACCTGATACAGTTGCCACTCCATTGATCATCTGCTGAGAATAAGAGAGAGAGAGGGTGTGCATAGTGGGGAGAGGGAATAGAGAGAAAGTGACGGAGGAGGGTAAATTCAAAGAGAGAGAATGTGCTACACATTTAACAGGGCATTTAACAGGTTAGCCCTTCCTTCTGCTGGACACACCTCCCTCAGTCAATCCCTTAGGATGTAACAGAACCAGAGTGCCTCCTGGGGGTAGGGGGATTGCACTGGAAGGGAATGTAGGAGGAGTTTATCAACAACCTAACTGGTTTTGCCTGGTGAAAGGTCAAGTGCTTCACAGAGGACTTCATTATTGCCTAAGGGTAGAATGGGGCTTGAATCCCTGTATTAGAACACAATAACACTTCATTGGCATACAGTTTGACTGTTAATCACTTCCCCCACATTTATTACATCAATTATACCCTTGAATATTCTGTTTATGCAAAAAAGCATCCAGGCCTTTTTTTTTTTTTAAATATCTGTAGAATCTGATAAGACAATCTCTTTAGGCAGAGAATTCCACATCTTTATTGTTCGTATTTAAAGAACCCTCTCCTCTGTGCATTTTATTTCAGCAGTTCTCAAAAAAAATGTTGGGGCATTAATTAATCCCTTAAAGATGGAGACAACTGTTCAAATTCTGACCAAAACAAAAACCAGATTTTGAGCTGTATGTTTGTTAAACCATAATTTACCTCTTTCATATTAGGTGAACCCACACTTATTATACTTAATTTTGTTCTGAAGAAATAGGGCTTTCATTTCACATCAAATATTTATATATGGAGCACAATTGAATATGAATAACATCTTTTAAAAAAAAAGTGTGAGAAATTTTATAAATCAATGGTAAGACCCCACTCCAACTTGAATATGCCGTGAAATTTTGGGCACCAGTTTAAAAGAAGAATATTGCAGAACTGAAAGCCAGCTACAAAATTAGTAAGGGGGATGGAAAACATTAGTTATATTAAAAAACAGAGGGTTGGAGTTTATAGCCTAAAAAGGTAAAATACATAAAAAATCTATATAAAAATATAAAAAAATGTATAATATATAATAATATCTATAAAAAATATTGAATACTACTTACAAGTTCTGATACCTAAAAGGTTAAATGTGGAGTTTGAAATAAACCAATTTTTGTAAAATACGGTATCAGAACTTGTAAGTAGTATTTACTATTTTTATAGATATTATTATATATTTATTTTTATATAGATTTTTTATGTATTTTACCTTTTTAGGCTATAAACTCCAACCCTCTGTTTTTTAATATAAACTTTTAAATACTTCATTTTATGACTATTCTTAATTTACCTGGTAAATTTATATTACAAAGTTTTTTAGTTACCCCCTCTTTTCAAGGAATAAAAAGAATTTCCTCTATTTCCTTTTTTCAGACTTCAAAATACTGTGTATGTATTGTTAAGATTAAATTGATAATAATTCAGTGGCATAATTTAGGCCCATGATGTGAATACATTGCCCCTTTATAATGATTATTCTCTTAATTCCCATTTAAATATTGGTGCCATTACACCTAAGGGCGAGAGTCTACTGCTTTCCAATATTAAAAATGGACTCCACACCCTTAAGCACTCATAATTGTCATCACATGATAACATCAGACGTTATGACGTCTTGCTGCAACGTCCGGAATAGGAACACCGGAAGTGACGCGATGTGACCCCGCGAAGTATCACGGCTATATAAGAAAGAATGGACGGACTACAATTATGCACTTGAAAAAGACTTTTAATATAAGTCGAAATGCGTTGTGCCCATATATTTTATATTGTTATTTTAATCTTATGTAATTCCTCTTCCAATAATTAAATATTCCAATAAATTACTTTTGCACTCAAAGGAACACTATAGTAACCTAAATTACTTTAGCAAAATAAAGCAGTTTTAGTGTATAGATCATTCTCAGCAATTTCACTGCTTAATTCACTGTCATTTAGGAGTTAAATCACTTTGTTTCTGTTTATGCATCCCTAGCCACATCTCCCCTGGCTATAATTGAGAGAGCCTGCATGAAAAAAAAACTGGTTTCACTTTCAAACAGATGTAATTTACCTTAAATAATTGTATCTCAATCTCTAAATTGAACTTTAATCACATACAGGAGGTTCTTGCAGGGTCTAGCAAGCTATTAACATAGCAGGGGATAAGAAAATCTTAATTAAACAGAACTTGCTATAAAGAAAGCCTAAATAGGGCTCTCTTTACAGGAAGTGTTTATGGAAGTTTGTGCAAGTCACATGCAGGGAGGTGTGACCAGGGTTCATAAACAAAGGGATTTAACTCCTAAATGGCAGAGGATTGAGCAGTGAGGCTGCGGGGGCATGTTCTATACACCAAAACTGCTCCATTAAGCTAAAGTTGTTCAGGTGACTATAGTGTCCCTTCAACACAAGCCTGGAAATCGAATCCTTGGAAAGTGGCAGAGTTTGGGAGCAGTATCTGGAGGTCTTATATTGAAGAGTGCTGAAAGTCTGAGCCTGCTAGAAATAGGCTCAGCACCATGTGAGTTCAACTAGTTAAACCAATATAACTGCAAATGTTTTATACAAACTGCACTATGATATGTATGTGTTTTATTGCAGACGTTTTAATTTAATTTACTGTTCAAGAATTTTCAGTGGTAACATTTGAATTGTTTTAAGTGTCAGTTCTCACCTATTCACTCCTTTTATTCTTGTATTTATTTGTGTTGTTTGGGTGACACAACATTGGTGATAGTAGCTACACTGAATCACTTTATTCCATTACTGTATTTTATTTTGATTTCACTTATCTGTACCTCGCTTCAGACATTCTCAGTTGGTTACTGCAGCCAGACATAGAGCTCACAGAATTGAGAGTCGTTTTCCGCCTTACCCAGAGCCTCATCTCACACAAGTGGTTCAAGAACTTCAAGCACAAGCTGCATTCCCCCAGAATGCCAATGGCACAGGGTCCACTTGCTGCTTAGCTTGTTCCTCTTGCTGAAAACATGGTGGCTGCTTCTGAACCCCAAGTTATGTTACCTGAAAGATTTTCTGATGACCGAGCAAAATACAGAATCTTCATAATGGCCTGTAAACACATTTGATTTAAAGCCTCGAACATTTCATTCTGAATTCTCTATAACATCGCTCCAGTCAGGTCCTCCACAACAATGGGCTAATAATTTATTGCATACTAATGATTCAGCAGTACAGTCCTGGGGTGCGTTCATCAACACTATGTCCTACATGTATGACAATCCTAACCGACAAGAAACCGCATAAACCACCATCAAAGTCCTAAAACAAGGCCACAGACTTGTGGAAGAGTACATCATGGATTTCAAATGATAAACTACTGACACGTCCTGGAATGAGAACGGTCTAGTAAATCAATTTTGTAGATTTCCGTATTTATTATTGTGTAGAGCTTCTGCAGGATAATTTGCTCACTTTGGGATTCCAAATTCCTTTTAAGCCTTTATGCAACAAGCTATCTATAGAGAGTCCCTGCCACAAGTCAAATCAGCTCTCAATTAGCCGCTACCAATGCTACAGGAGGAAAACCTAAGCAGATTGGTCTTATTCAGGGTCATCTTCCCACTGCTGAATTGCAAAGGGGATACAGGGATAACCTCTAGCTTTATTGTGGAAAGCCTAATCATACTGTGAAATCATGTATTAAGAATACAAAAACTCAACGGGGTAAGTGGGCCTCTCATAGGATACAAACATCTGCTGCAGTCACTGCTACATCTTCTTTATTTGTTTATCTTCTGTTACAGGGGAACAGGATTCCCTATGATTGTCAAGGTTTTATTGACTAAGGTGCCAATAGCTGCTTTATTGACTTTGTCACCCAAGCTCTTTCAATACCTGTCATAGATAAAGGTAAACATACAAGCTATTGATGGTTCAGAAATCCAGCCCTGTTTCTCAACAGACTCCTCGTGTTCATGTTACTATAGGTGAAACTGTATCATTTGAGCTAGTATATTTTTTCCAGTTATGTTGGGTATACCTTGGTTATGCACTCTAGGGATCGACCGATATTGATTTTTCAGAGCCGATACCGATACCGATATTCTGTGAACTTTCAGGCCGATAGCCGATATAATTTGCCGATATTCTGTACATTTACCATTTTGGAAAATAAAAACTATTTCTAAAGGTAAATGCACAAAATATACATGCCACGTGTAGTGGATGCAGTGTGACAGGGGAGCTGTGTGTGTTTGTGTAGTGTGTGTGTAGTGGATGCAGTGTGACAGGGGAGCTGTGTGTGTTTGTGTAGTGTGTGTGTTATGGATACAGTGTGTGTTTGTGTAGTGTGTGTGGAGGATGCAATGTGTGTTTGTGTAGTGGATGCAGTGTGTATTTGTCTAGCGTGTGTAGTGGATGCAGTGTGTATTAGTGTAGTGTGTATATAATGAAAGCAGAGTGTTTGTGTAGTGTGTGGGTAGTGTGCGTAAAGTGAATGCTGTATATACTAAATGCAAAGTGTGTGTATATAATGAATGCAGAGTGTGTGTGTATTTGTGTAGTGTGTGTATAGTGAATGTAGTGTGTTTATATAATGCAGAGTGTGTGTGTTTGTATAGTGTGTGTATATAATGCAGTGTGTTTGTGTAGTGTGCATTATATAAACACACTACACAAACACACACACTGCATTATATACACACTACACAAACACACTGCACAAACACACTACATAAACACACACCGAATTATATAAACACACTACACAAACACACTGCATTATATACCCACACTACACAAACACACACTGCATTATATACACACACACTATACAAACACACTGCATTATATACCCACACTACACAAACACACTGCATTATATACCCACACTACACAAACACACTGCATTATATACCCACACTACACAAACACACTGCATTATATACCCACACTACACAAACACACACTGCATTATATACACACACTGTACAAACGCACACTGCATTATATACACACACTGTACAAACACACACTGCATTATATACACAGTGTGTTTGTGTAGTGTATGTGTATATAATGCAGTGTGTGAGGGGGCATTTTTTATTAAATTATTTAAAAAAAAATTATAATTATTATTTATTTTTGTTGTCCCCCCTCCCTGCTTGTTACCTGGCCAGGGAGGGGGGATATGACAGTCCCTGGTGGTCCAGTGGCTGAGCTTTGGGGGGGCGGAGAGCAAGCGCTTACTCACCTCCCAGCAGCTCCTCCAGCTCCCCAGTGCAACTCTCGCGGCCAGCGTGTCACGCGTAGCGTTGCCATGGTGATCCATGGCAACGCTCTGACGGCCGCGGGTCTCGCGAGAGTTGCACTGGGGAGCTGGAGGAGCTGCTGGGAGGTGAATAAGCGCTTGGTCTCCGCCCCCCCAGGACCGCCGGGCTTGTAATGAGCCTGGCGGTCCTAGGAGGTATTATCGGCAATATCGGTATCTGAATTGGCCGATACCGATATTGCCGAGAATACCGAATATCGGCCGATTATATCGGTAAAACCGATAATCGGTCGATCCCTAATGCACTCATGGCCCCTGCATCTCCTGGTCCAAAGGTTGCTAGTATGCTCTCATCCCCTTACAAAAACTGCAAGTACATTTCTGATAAAGGCACAGACACTCTGCCCAACAGAAAATAATACGACTGTCCTACAGATCTGTACCTGATGGGTACAAAATGGACCATTTTTTGTGAGACAATTCACCACTACCATAATGGTATTGTAGCCTTGTGATTTTGGTAGATCAACTATGAAATCAACCGATATGTGTCCAGTGGCGTTGAGGGTTTCAACAAACCCGTGGTTCTTGTATTAGAAGTTTTGAATCTGGCAGATACAGTACCATAACTGACAAATCTAGATAGAAGACTTCACGAGAGCAAATAGAGAGGGATCACCACAGGGTGCACACCATTTATAAGCCTTTAAGAATAGAAAGGACAGATTAGACTTTACCAAAATAAAATCTGAAAAAGCTAGCTCAGTTCTGAAACAGTATTCTTTGGACAGATTAAACAAAGATCAACCTGTACTGGAATTATGGGAGGAAAAAAGTATGGAGAAGGCTTGGAACGACTCATTATCCGAAGCATACCACATCATCTGTAAAACACGGTGGAAAAGTGGGATGGCAACCCAGGAGTTTTTTAAGGCAATGGCCGAGATAATAACTTGCATGTATTTAATTGGCTTAAGACAAAAATTAAGATAGAAAGACCCACGAACAAACAACTGAAGACAGCTGCACTAAAGTCCTGGCACAGCATCACAAATGAGAAAACCCAGCGTTGGTGACATCCATGTGTTCCAGACTTCAAGCAGGCATTCCCTGCAAAGGATTCTCAACAGAGTATTGAAAATTACAAATTTTATTTATGATTGTGTTAATTTGTCCAGTTAAATTTGAGCTCCTGAAATGAGGACTGTGTATGAAAATGGTTGCATTTCCTAAACGTTTCAAACAATATTATTGTTCAACCCATTGAATTAAAGTTTAAAGTCTGTGTCACAAATGCACCCTACTCCAAGCGTTTGTGTGACGTAGTTGTGGTGGTGAAAGGGTTAAAGTTCACTATTTATCTGCACTAGACCAGAAATAATGATACGATCCCACTTAACACCACCCACACTTAACCATATTAATATAAATATTACTATTTTAATGCTGCCACCAAGGCAATTTATAAATGGGGTGCCTTGGTCCCCCAGGTAACGTAATAATAAAAACCCACCAAATACAACTATACAATATTTAAGCAATTGCAAAACACTAATTAGTCTCTTCAGGTAACATGATTCTTAACCAGACAAAGGCAGAACTTAATAAAGGAATATTTATTATGAGTAAAAAATAGTCACAGTGCAAACAAAAATATAGATGACAATCAAATTATTTACATTAACAACAGATAAAAATCAAAGAGGATAAAATAACAGAAGTCCTAATCACTTACTCTGGTTTTCAAAGTAAAACTTCTGTCCAGGGGATCTCTGGCAAGGAAGATGGTGACTCACTCAAAATTAGATTTTAGCCCCAAGCAAGTACAATACATATTTCAATAGCATTGGATATATATCCTGTGGTTTACCAAGCCTGGCCCAGAGGTGGAGATAAGCCTATAGAGACAATAAGTGACCACCCCCTTGTGTTCCAGACCAACATTACTCCAAATGTAAACATCTCCTCTGATGTACTTGCCACAGAAATAATAATTACATCTCCGAATTTGTTACAATGTTTCCATTTCATAGATATGTCACACTTGTAACTTGTAACCCAATATAGCGGACATCACAATCCCTTCCCATATAATTAAGTTAAGCAAATCGTGTTTAGGCTTGATTAGAAGATTGTGCTTGTCCCATTCTAAATATAATAAAAAATTAAGGGTTTTTCTTGAAAGCTAATGACTATTCATATCAAAGGACTCCCTATCTAAGAGGGAATCATGACATATGGCAAATGACAGAGTTAGTTTATACTGAAACCAGACTTCCAGGCCACTTATGTGTGACTTCTCACACCGTACAGAGTAGCTCTGTTGGGGTCCCAGCTTCAAAGAGGAATTTAGGGGTTTATCATATTAACCCCTTTTGAAATTGTCAATACCACCTCTACCAGATGGCAATTCCCATATGCACTACACAAATTACATTAAATGGCCATATTCTAAAGTGCAACAATGAATTATGCACCCTTGCTGTCACAGTCTACATCTTGGTTGAAACATGTCAAATTCATTGTGGTGGCGTACAGAGCCAAAATTATAAAAGTTGAGTCAGTGTAATTATATTTCCGGACCTAACTGTACATGTCTTCTGTCACCTTTGCATTTGGTATTAATGATATGCAGTGTAGCAGACTCCATTCCCTTATGTTCGCTTGTCTGTACCCCTTGTTTGTCTCCCGAATGACTGGTGTGTGGTCCCCTGGTTATGCCCCAACGAACACTGACCTCACCTGGCTGTTAACAACAAATTAACAACTTGACACCTTCGCTGGAGTGCTTTCCCTGGGTGGCAGCCATTCGTTTAACTATTTCCGGCCTCGCATCTCTGCGAATCCAGGCAAAGATGGTACTGCTGTCCATCCTGCTTCCCGACCAACTAGACAAACGGCGTTCAGGAGATATGATCTAGCGAACATGGGTAGCATTCGCTCCATAGCAGTCAGGGGGAGCGTTTGTCGTGTTCGCACAGGAACCCCCGAAAGCTATCCCCTTGTGGCCGGTCGGTCAAAACTTTAGTCAAACTGAACTTTCATTTCACCAACCAATTGGAGTGATTTTTGGATATGTTGTGCGCCCAGGTCAGGGCTATTCAGGAATATGATTTTTGTGGGGTTCCTATATTCTTTTCGTGTATTTTTGGGATATGTTAAAAATGTATGTACATTTGTGTATTTGAGAGATAATTGAGTTATCCTAATTTGAGCTAAATTATCTCTCAAACACAAAGGCTCTTGGGAAACAAAACCTTGTGTTCTTGAGGTGGAAACCCCATGCTAGGGACAATGCATAAAAGCCATGTGTGGCAGAATAAACTTCAGTTGTTCTCCCAGTACTGTGTGTCGTCCAGTTACTGTGGAGAAGGTGGGCTATTTACTTGGAGGTATCTTGTTCCTGATTCTACTCCTTGTGATCCAGCAGAGGAAAGTCCCTGTGAGGACTAGGACTCTGCTACATTCAGTTCTTAGATCATCTAGGTAAAGCCCAGGCTCCTAATGGCACATATCTATTACTAAGCTCAATGGTCCAAAACCTTTTATACCTGGTGTCAATATGCACAAAAAATATTCTACTGAACCACAAGTCAATTATGAGAACTTCCTTCTACACATTCATTTGCACTCACAGAACCTGTGGTTTCCAGTTTACTCAAAGCTCCTGGGCAGCAGTGTACTTAATATATCAACTGTGGTGTTTATTAAAACTTCAGCATATTTATCAAGTATGATTTGGTTACAAGTTTTAAAACTGAGGTGGTTGTTGTAATTAATTCTCCTTGACCTGTCTGCGGCTTTTGACACTGTTGATCATCAACAGCTTCTTCTCATCCTCTCTCTCCTCTGCTCCTCCTACCTCTCCCAGCGCTCTTTCGGTGTTTCTTTCTCTGGCTCTGCTTCTTCTCTTCAACTCCTCTCTGTTGGTGTCCCCCCAAGGTTCAGTCCTTGGTCCCCTACTGTTCTCTATCTATACTGCCTCCCTTGGTAAACTCATTAGCTCCTTTGGCTTCCAATATAATTTCTATGCGGATGACAAGCAAATCTACCTGTCCTCTCCTGATCTCTCCCCGTCCCTCTTGACTAGTGTCTCTGACTGCCTCTCTGCTATTTCTAACTGGATGGCTGCCCACTTCCTTAAACTCAACTTGACTAAAACTGAAATTCTGGTCTTTCCTCCCTCAAGTGTTGCTACTCCTGTGCAGGCTAGCTGCCTAGGTGTTCTCTTTGACTCCGACCTCTCCTTCACGCCTCATGTTCAGTCTATTGTTAAATCCTGTCGTTTCCATCTCAAAGACATTGTGCACATCCGACCCTACTTAACACCAGATGCGACTAAGGTGCTGGTCCATTCCACTGTCATCTTTCGCCTTGACTACTGTAATCCGCTTCTCAGTGGTCTTACGTGCTGCTCCCAACTTGTGCCATTACAGTCCATAATAAATGCTGCAGCGAGGCTCATCTTCCTGTCCACCCACACCTCCCACTCCTCACCCTTCTGTCAGTCCCTTCATTGGCTTCCTGTAAGATATAGGGCTCAATTTAAAAATTCTGGTTCTTGCTTTCAAATCTCTACACCTATCTATCTTCCCTAATACACAAGTATGTCCCGTCTAGGCCCTTACACTCTGCTGAAGACTTACGTCTATTTTCTGTCCGTACTCCCACCTCTGATGCTCGCCTTCAAGATTTCTCTAGGGCTGCGCCGTTCCTGTGGAACTCATTTCCCCACTTCCCTTCTCCGTTAGATGCTCACCCAGTCTCCACTTCTTCAAAAAATCACTAAAAACCCACCTGTTCATAAAAACGTATCAATTAAACTGTTAATAGTGCCCGACTGATTCCTCTCTTGCAACTGTCATTAGTCTGATACTATCCTTACCTTTTGTGTCACTTTACCCCACTCCCTCTAGCATGTAAGCTCATTGAACAGCTCCCTCAACCCCTCTGTCCCTGTGTGTCCAACTTGTCTGGTTACAACTACATGTCTGTTCGTCCACCCACTGTAAAGCGATGCGGAATTTGTTGACGCTATATAAATAATAACATCATCATCATAATAATAATAATAATTGATTGCGGTATATGCAGACTATCCTTTGCTGTTCCATTATTGTTTTACTTTTTTTTTTTATTATTCTGTTTTTATCTTTTGATAAGTCTTGTGACTGGTTCTGTGCATTATGGCATAATGTAATCCCATCCTGGCATGTGTGATTTAATTGAAATGAAAATATGCCCAAGATGGCAGCAATATAGATTTTAGGCTGGAATTATGAGCTTAATTCATGACATTTATTTTATTTTGAATCATTAAACAGAATGAATTCAGACTGGCTTAAATGTTTAAGAATTAGTTTTGGACTGTTAATACGGACCAGGCTATTCACTAGAGTGAAAATTCAAAGTACATTTCAAAAAGGACAAAGCAAGGACACAGTAGCCAAACTAGAAGCAAATCTGAGTTAGAGAATTTTTCCAGTTCAGCTATCATGGTATCAGTGATCAACCAAGTCTAATACATGTTATTAAACTGACCTTAATTTAATGAATTTGACAATGCCAAATTGCCATTAACCCACTAAAATGCTTAATGACAGTATATCACTTCTTAATCCCACTTACCGTATATACTCGTCTATATGAGTACAGTTTTTTGACCAACAGTTGTAAAAATAGGCTATGACTCATGGATGTCGAGGGTAAAACTTGGGGCTATGAAATTCTGTGATTTTTTTTATAATTTTGTCAGATTTTACCAAGGTAAAGATCCTGGAACAATCAAACAGTTACGGTACCTACTTCTCTGCATCTCATTGCACACGCCTAGCCCCAAAGCTATTAGTTGACCATGCCTGAACGTGGCAGGCACATGCGGCTAGCATTATCTCGTTAGCTAGTGGTCCTGCTTGTGGCTCACCATCAGCTGCGATGGCAGCAGCATTCGCCGCACTGTACACCCTGTTCCAAATTATTATGCAAATTCTATTTAAGTGTCACAAAGATTAAATATTTTGTTTTTCAGTTTAACTCATAGATGGCATTGTGTCTCAGGGCTCTTTTGATCACTGAAAACAATCTTGGACACCTGTGATAATTAGATTGCCAGGTGAGCCCAATTTAAGGAAAAACTACTAAAGGAGTGTGTTCCACATTATTAAGCAAAGCACCATTTGCATGCAATATGGGGAAGAAAAAGGATCTCTCTGCTGCCGAATAGAGTGAAATAGTTCAATACCTTGGACGAGGTATGAAAACATTAGATATTTCACAAAAACTTAAGCGTGATCATCGCACTATTAAGAGATTTGTGGCTGATTCAGAGCACAGACGGGTTTGTGCAGATATAGACACATTGAGGAAGATTTATGCCAGATCCATGCATCGGATCAAGAGGGCAGCTGCTAAAATACCATTACATAGCAGCAAACAGATATTTGAAGCTGCTGGTGCCTCTGGAGTCCCACGGACATCAAGGTGTAGAGTCCTCCAGAGTCTTGCAATTATGCATAAACCCTCTATTCGGCCACCACTAACCAATGCTCACAAGCAGAAACGGCTGCATTGGGCAGAAAAATACATAAAGAATAATTTTCAAAGAGTCCTGTTCACTGATGAGTGCCATGCAACCCTGGATGGTCCAGATGGATGGAGTAGTGGATGGTTGGTTGTTCCAACAAGGCTGCGATGTCAGCAAGGCGGTGGTGGAGTCATGTTTTGGGCCGGAATCATGGGAAGAGAGCTGGTCGGCCCCTTTAGGGTCCCCGAAGGTGTAAAGATGACCTCTGCAAAGTATGTGGGGTTTCTGACTGACTACTTTCTTCCCTGGTATAGAAGGAAAAACTATGCTTTCCATAATAAAATCATGTTCATGCCACAAAGATTACCTCTGCATCGATGGCTGCTATGGGGATAAAAGGAGAGAAAGTCGTGGTGTGGCCTCCATCCTCCCCTGACCTCAATTCTATTGAGAACCTTTGGAGCATCATCAAGCAAATGATCTATGAGGGTGGGAGGCAGTTTACATCCAAACAGCACCTCTGGGAGGCTATTCTGACATCTTGCAAACAAATTCAAGCAGAAACTGTCCAAAAACTCACAAGTTCAATGGATGCAAGACTTGTGAAGCTGCTATCAAATAAGGGGTCCTATGTTAAAATGTAGCGTGACCTGTTAAAATGTTTAAAAAGTTAAAATGTTGTTATAAGTTTGATTGAAATAGCTTTTGATTTCAGTAAATATGCTGCAAACACAACAAATGACAATTTGCAGTTCTTTACAAACTATAAAGGGTTTGAAACTTACTGTATGTAATAATTTGGAACAGTGCATTGTAAGTTTTTTATGTTTAAAAAAAATACTGTTATCATTAGGAGGTTTGTTCAATAAAATTTTAAATGTACTCTTAATAGCTGATAACATGTGAATTATGCTGACTGTTATTAACATCAATTATTTAGGTAAATGAGAAAAATATAATTTGCATAATAATTTGAAATAGGGTGTATACTAAATCATGGCCTGTGTATGATTGACTCCAGGCGTATCACACCATATGCTTGTATCTAGATCTCCATAAGTTAACACTCTGCATACTCGAAACTAGCACTGACCAGTGTATAAGTCTACTCTGTCTTTTAAAATGAAGTTTACAACTAAAATTTCTTGACGTATATACTGTAACTAAACAAATATGTCTAAAATGTCCCTGTTATTATTTCTTATGCAGAGGATCTTTAGGTGCTTGGAAGTCTAAATTTTTTGATAACCCTCTTGATAACTAATAAACGTAAATTGTTGATTTTAATTACCCGGATATAAATTTGGATAGAGGGACTAATAGTTCAACAAAGGGAATTAAGTTTTTAAACTTGTTAAATTACACCTTTATATCATAACTTGAACAAGCACCAACAAGAAAGGATGCTTGTCTGGATCTGGTTATAGCAAATATTGCTGATCTTTTGACCAACATTCATGTAGGGGAACACTTGGGGGAAAAAAAGCAAATGCACATGGGGTATACTAAAACATATAAGTTTAAAAAGGCCAATGAAAATAAGAAAAGGGCATTTAAAGCATTTAAATCTGACAAGTCAGAGGCATCCTATAAAAGATATAAGGAAGCCATGGGCGTCCGCAGGAATTTTTCCAGAGATGGCATATTTTTAATGAATGACATCCATGCTCAGCCCCTTTTTTTGCAGGGCCAGACTGGGGCTACCAAGCAGACCTGGAAAAAAAATAACGGCTGAAAAGGGGGGGAGGGGTCAGGGCCGTGGTGGGGGGTGAGGGTTAATAGGAAGGGCGAAGTGCAATGGGGGGAGGTCAGGATCTGTGGTGGGGGTCAGGACCTGTAGTAGAGGGGTTAGAACATGTAGTGGGGGATCATAGGTTATAAAAGGGTGTTAGGGGCTGTAATGGGGGCTAGGGCCTGTAGTGGGTGCTTAGTGGCAATAGTGATGGGTTATATGTAGTAGGTGGTTAGAGGCAATAGTGGGGGGTTAAAGGCTGTAGTGGGGTTTAGAACGTGTAGAGGGGGTTAGGGGCAACAGTGGGTTAGGACTTTTAGTTAGTGGTTAGAGGCAAGAGTGGGGGATTAATAGCTGTAGTGGGTGGTTAGAGGCAAGAGTGGGGGATTAAGGGGGCGGGGCCTGACCGCCATGCTGACCGGTCGCAGGCTAGAGAGGCTCCTGACACATTTGGTCCCCTATGGCACAAAACTTTAAAAATAAAGCAATCCGAGTGACCAGAAGCCGTCTTAAGCACCCAGGCAGAGGCCGGAGCCACCGCAGTCCCTGAGATCGGGAGTTCCAGAGCCCCCAGCAGGAGATATGGGACTTTGGGGCCTGCGGCCTATGAGGGTGGAGAGCGGGACGGACGGCCGCCGTCCTGCTTGTGAACCTGGCCACCCGGCAGCAGCCTTGCGATGCACCTCGCAGGCCCCGCTTCCCCCCCCATGGACCGGGGGGGTTATCCCGGTCCCCATCGGAGGGAAACACCGTCCTACAAAGGCCCTACATCATGCCTACTTGGAGTTACGCGCTACGAGCCAGGGCACTAAAATGGCGGCGCCACGATCTGTAATGGATGACGCAACCTCGCCTCTCTGCAGACGGAACCACCTTGCTGAGCATCACCCCTACCGAACAAGCCTGCACACAACCCTGCCTTCCAGCTACATGGCGAGGGGGCTGGGGCTGAAGATGGAGGGCAGAGTCGGCATGAGGGGCCCACGGAAGCTCCACTCACTCTACAATGCCCATTGACTACCCTCAACGCCCGCACACAACTAGACACCGCTAACCGAGATGCAACTTGCCTCCAACACGAGACTCTTATGCATAGTCCCCCAGGACTCATCAGGAGGGCTAATACCAGCCTCGGACTTACCGACTATCTGCAGCACTCTGTGGACTGTAGCATGTATAGGGGCAGATCTATCTATGGTGATTTCAGTCACTAACACTCACCACAGCATGTTATACCGCTATTTTAATTAAGCTCTTTTCTAGCTGCTAGCCTCTGCCAGGAGCTTTGTTGGTAAGCGATCCCACATTTATAAACTAGCTTATCTGCCCATGTTGAAGCATGTTACTCCTATCACTTAAACATACCAATAGTGCAAGTACTTAAAGCATGTATCCAGTAAAAAGCGTAAACAGAATATAGTGCTTGCACATAGCCTTATCTATGTACCTATTTTATGAAAACTGTACATTGCCTAGCGAATACCCTACCTGATATCTAGCTATGGTTTAAGCTTGTTAATATAATATAAAATGAGGTTGACAATCCTAGGAGAATTCTGTAATATGTTACGATGACCCTAATCTGTACAACTCTTGCAAGTCTCCCTCTCTTTTTTCTGTACCACCATAATCACATGCCTCAAAAAATAAAGAATTCAAAAAAAAAAAAAGAGTGGGGGATTAATAGCTGTAGTGGGTGGTTAGAGGCAAGAGTGGGGGATTAAGAGCTGTAGAGGGTGGTTAGAGGCAAAAGTGGGGGGGTTAAGGGCTGTAGTGGAGTCTAGTACTTGTAGTGGGTGGTTTGGGGCAATAGTTTGGGGTTAGGACCTCCCCCCCCCCTAAGCTGTACCTCTGTCTCCATTAACCATTTTTAACCTCTTCCTCCTCAAGCACCATTTATTTCTGCTCTAACTTACCTCTCTCTTGAGTCTCTGCTCTCTTTCTCTCCACCAGCCCCTGAGCAGCAAGCCTCTGCAGTAATCTGTAGTGTTTCCTCCTGCAGGCAGCTCCTCCTTGCAGAGCTTACTACACATGCCGGGAGCACACAGCATGCGTGTAGAAGGAGGAGGGGATGTCACTCCCTATCCCCTCCTCGTATTTAGAACTGAGCACTCCTCCCTGCACACAGAGAGCAAGACCTGGCAGGGAGACTTGTAACACTGCTAGGTCTCGCTCTATAAAGAGGGGTGGAGGGGATGGTTGACACTTCCTGTCAGAGGATCTATTGATCTCTATGCCACTTGATCAGCAGCAGGCTTTCCTCTGAAGCACCCTAGTGAGCTGTGAAGCTCTGGCCCTGGGGGTGGAAGAAAGCTGAAAAATCCAGGTGGGGCAAGTGCCCCATCTTACCCCCTTCTGCGGATGTTCATGAAGGAAGCCAATAATGCATGCAAAAAGGCAATTAGATCTGCTAAACTACAAAATGTGGGAGTAATAGCAAAAGGGAGAAAAAGAACAACCCCAAAGCATTTTTTTAAGTACATAAATTCTAAAAAAGATGAAAGTACACTGAAAACCAGGTTGGGGCGTTAATTAAAGAAGACGAGGAAAAGGCAGACATTTTAAATAACTATTTCTCCTCAGTGTATATTAAGGAAGAACCTATGGCTATAGATATGAAAATGATTGCTTGGATGATGCAAAAGTTGTGATTGGATGACTGCAGCAACTAAAGAAAGGGATGCGCAAATTGTATCTCACTACACCCAGTACATGCAGTTCCGGGTGCTGGGCAGGTTGTTGTTTTTTTCTTTTAGGCCTGTTACGAGCTAGCAGCAGAGGTTTTTTTCCCCTAGGATCCAGGTCCCCCACACAGCTGCAGGGGACTTGAATCTACTTTGAGGCATCCAGGGCCAGCGTGTCCATAAGGCAGCACAGCCGGCCACCTTAGGGTGCACCGGCTCTGGGGGCGCAAGATTCGAGTGACCGACAGGAGGAAAGCGCACAGCGCTCCCTCCTACCAGTCACTCAGTGTAGCGTGGCTGAGAGGACTATGATACAGGAGCTTCAGTTTTTTTGTGCTTGGCCAGACTGACATGAAGTTGAAGAGGATAAACTACTAAGGGAAGAACAACTAGATGCATACTTACAAAAATATAATATTTAAGAATATAATTTTTCACTTGTAGGGTATTAGCTTCTAGATCAAGGGATAAGGCGGACTGCCATTCTGGGGTCAAGAAGGATTTTTTTCCTAGTTTGTTGCAAATTTGGATATGCTTCAAACTGGGTTTTTTGCCTTCTCTTGGATCAACAGCAAAAAACAGATGTGTGGAAGGCTAGATGGACACATGTCTCTTTTCAGCCTATGTAACTATGTAAACTTTATTTTCTACAGCCTCCTTCTACTATTATGTCATAAGGCAGAGGTAAACAGCCTATCACACATTGGCGGATCCAGGGGGGGGGCAACGGGGCAATTGCCCCCCCCCGAGAAATCCGCCGGTCTCCCTCCCCTGCCTGCCGTGCAATGTGCCTGCGGACCGGGGAGGAAGATCACAGATCTCCCTCCCCGGTCCGCAACCACTGTGCTTACAGCCGGCGGGGGAGGGAGGGAGTGAGAGAGGACCCGGAGCTCAGCCTGCAGCTCCTCCGGGTCCTCCTCTCTCGAGATTTGGAGCGTTGCCGCGGTTACCACGGCAACGCTCCAAATCTCGCGAGACTGAACTCTAGCCCGGGAGCGCGGGCTAGAGTTCACTCTCACCACTGGGACCACCAGGGAATCACCACTGGGACCACCAGGGATCGGAATATGTCCCCCCTCCTCCCCAGTAAAGGTAAGAAGGGAGGGGGGACATAGGATATTTATTTTATTAAATAAAATAAAAAAAAAATATTATTTAAAAGCCTCCTTCCCCCCCATTACACACACTGCCCCCCCCATACCACACACTCCCCCCCCATACCACACACTGCCCCCCATATCACACACTGCCCCCCCATACCACACACACACTGCCCCCCACACACACACTGCCCCCCACACTGCCCCCCATTACACACACTGCCCCCCATTACACACACACTGCCCCCATACCAATACTAATTCCCCATATCACACACTGTCTCCCCATTACACACACTGCCCCCCATACACACACCGCCCCCATACACACACCAAGTTCCATGTCTCACACACTGCCCCCATACACACACTGCCCCCCATACACACACTGCCCCCATACACACACCGCCCCATACCAACAATACCACACCGGCCTCCATTACACACACTGCCCCCATACACACACTGCCCCCCCATACCACACACTGCCCTCCCCATACCACACACTGCCCCCCCCATATCACACACTGCCCCACAAACACTGTCCCCATACACACACACTGCCCAATACACACACTTCCCCACAAACACTGTCCCCCATACACACACTTCCCCATGCACACACACACTGACCCCTCATACACACACCAAGTTCCACAAACACTATCCATAGCCAATAATAATTGTCCCAATACACACACTGCCCCCATACACACATTGCCCCACAAACACACACACTGTCCCCATACACACACACTGTCCCCCATACACACACTGTCCCCATACACACACTGCCCCACAAACACTGTCCCCATACGTACATTCCCCCATACACACACACTGACCTCCCATACACACACTGCCCCACAAACACTGTCCCCATACACACACACTGCCCCCATACACACACTTCCCCACAAACATTGTCCCCATATACACACTGCCCCTCCATACACACACTGTCCCCATACACACACACACTGCCCCACAAACACTGTCCCCCATACACACACTGTCCCCATACACACACTGCCCCACAAACACTATCCCCATACACACACTGCCCCCCATACACACACTGCCCCACAAACACTGTCCCAATACACACACTGCCCCCATACACACACTGCCCCACAAACACTGTCCCCATACACACACTGCCCCACAAACACTGTCCCTGACATACACTGCCGCACTCACACACTTCACCCTTAACACACACCACTGCTCCTATACCCTATATCCCAGCAGACCCCAGGTAAGTTGTCAAACTGTTCTTAAACAGTATGACTACTTACTCTGGGGTGGAATCCTGGCACTACTGACACCATAACTACTACACTGAGCTGTAGTAGTTATTGTGCCTGGATTATTTATTTAAATAATCTACAAGTGCCCCTCCCGAGATCAGGCTCTGGATCCGCCACTGCTATCACATATGTGCCGACTATGGCACTTGAGGTGCCTTTGCATGGCACTAACAGCTGCCAGAGCCAAACATGCTCTGGCCTATCAGGAGTCCCAATGGAACTTCAGATATTTGCTAGTGCAACCTGAGCGGTGATTGCCGGTGGGGAGGGACAATCGTCATTTTATTCACTACAGCACTTGTGATCTCAGATCACTTCCTCCCAGCACTTGTGAATGGGAATCTGCACTGGAGTAGGTGAGCCTGCAGCAGCTCCTGCCGTTGACATGTACCTGGCCAGTTGCAGCATTATTTATGATAGCTCTGTGCCACATTCACAGGGGACTGTGTTAATAACAAAATGTTGAAAGCAAGTAAAGTGCATCTGAGTAGTCTCTTGGCATTTGAAGGGTGTTCATACAACCTGATCTATAAATGTTCTTGTCCTATTTTAGATAAAAACATAATGTTTCAAGCTTGATTTTGTTGTACTTCAGTAATCATTGACTACATGTGTTACCATGTAGGTAAAGGATCACTATAGTGTCAGGAAAATAAACCCGTTTACCTGACACTATTTAATCCTTGGGGATAATCCAAAGTAGTCTGGGTGCCTATAGTGGTCCTTTAAGTGCAGAGATACTCTGGCAGTGTAGAAAGTCTTTTTAGAAGGCACAATCAGCACCCTTTGCTGGAGGCTAATGGTTTTTGGGTTACCTAGAGCTGGCTTACAGGAGTTGGGAAACAGATTGTCAGATAGGCATACAGAAAGATATATAGTATCCTTGCCACATGTATTGCTGGTTGTTCTCTTCCTCCAGTCTGCAGCCTCTGTTTCCTAGTAGCTCAACTCCAGAGTCAAAGTACGTACTGGGAGACAGAGGCCAATCCATGAACACATTATGTGAAAAAGGGACGACGTGGCTAAGGAGGCACGAAACCTATTGTATTATATTTTAACAAAATTATCTAATTTTGAATAGGGAGAAAAATATAAAACCAAAACCAAATGAGACTGTTATTTTTGTGTTTACACCTTTTAGTCGATAGATTTTTCTCTATATTATCATTAAATTAAACTTATTTTTCAATTTAACACTTTGTTCAGTTTTTGATTTTGCGAATGCTCCTTGTTGATATCTAAAGTATAACATAATTCATTATGCATTTTCCTTTGTTACAGGTCTCGGTTTCAGTGCATACATTGTAACAGAAAAGTAATTGTGGAACCTAACACTCAAATCTATGCTAACCAGTCAAGGACACACTTGAGAAGCCCAGAACAGACGTCTGTGTGATTATCTTGTCAAATAGCCAATTTTATTTTTAAACTTCATTTTCTATGTTTCCAAATATTTGTTCAAAAGGGAAAATAATATATTGCAATGCTGCATAATGGTAGTGCCAAGGAAAATGTGTTTTGCCTCTAAAGCCTTTCAAAGATTGCCCATAAAATATTTATGATGGCAGATGCAAAAAGAAATGCAGTAATGCCCAGAAATCAAACAATACTGTTTAGCTGTGTTATTCTTAAGGTACACTTTCTTTTTATTTCTATGATCTTAACAGTAATCATGTATTTAAAAAATCCTTACACACATAACTTTTTAGAACCTGTTCTAAGTTACTGAACTTTTCCTAAAGCAAATTAGTATAAATTACATTGAAAACCAGGGTGAAATTTGCAAAATGTAAAAAAAATTTAAATGTCTAAAGGTACACTTATTATGTTGATGACTCCATGTTTAAAGGGTTACTCCAACCATTATACCCACTACAACCACTGTAATGGTTATGATGCTATGAGTACCCTGGCACCATTACCAGGTAATAGGGCAAACCATTTTACAATGGTATCCTTCTTGCCTGGCTTCTCACCCACTGAAGAGCCTCCTAGCTTAACTGAGCTGCAGACCTGCAGAAGCCATATACCTATTCTGTTGCCATTCATTGGCTGTCAGCATCAGCAGACCATTCTAGGAAATGAATGGCAATGTGTACATTGAACTGTGCATAGCCACAAGCTAATAACACCCCAATAACGATGTCAGAGATGGAGTTATACCTCTGGCCATAAAGGGACTAAATGAATTTCATAGCGAAACCCTGCATATTCAGACTCCCTGCACCATAAATACTTCAAGTCACTGAAGTGGATATGGCATTACATTGCAGGATTAAATCCTCTGCTAGTTGTTAAACTGACTGATGCTACTAATTAATTAGTAAGGTAACTTACACATAAACCTTTACATACACTAAAAATACATTGGTAAAATATACATGCATTTGCAAATCAATTTGTTCAATGCAGAAATAAAAATGATTGCTGTTTGCAATAGAAAGATGAACATTTTGATTATCTCAATACATTGTCATGTAGCTAGTTATGACTAATTGTTATTTAAATATTAACAAGTTTTGTCTTGATTCATTAGTCTGCTGAAGTACTAATTCAAAAGTAAAATAGGGATATATTTACTGGCATATATTGGATTTCAAAAAGCTCTTAGCATAGCACCTAAAGGGACACTGTAGGCACCCAGACCACGTCAGCTCATTGAAGTGGCCTGAGTGCTGTGTTCCTTTTGCACCTAGTGCTGCAATGTAAAACATTGCAGTTCCAAAGAACTGCAATGTTTGCATTGCAGCTCTAAGTCTGCCCTCAGTGGCTGTCTATGATAAATGCTTTCTTATGGGAAAATCCTAATGCAAGCGCGGCCATTGCAGAGTATGCACATTATGTCGGCGGGGGAGGAGCATTGGCGGAGCCTGACCCAGCGCCGAGGGACATCAGCGCTGGATTGAGGGAAGTGACTGAAAAGGTTTTAACCCCTTCAGAGCTGCAGGAGTGGGTCACAAGGGAGGGATCCATATTGCCAGGAAAACAGCTTTGTTTTCCTGGCACGATAGGATCCCTTTAAAATCCTAAAGTCTGCCATAAGTGAGAATGACCAGTAACCTAATCCTTAGTTTTTTAGGTCCAATAAACTATTATAATTAGTTATTATTAACCGGTGAAAGAAATTATGATTAGTATATTTAAGCCAGAAGAGATGTATTTTTTTTCTTACATATATTCATATATTGCATATATTCTATAATATATTTGATACCTGAAAGGAATATGAAATATATCATGTTACAAACGTATGATATATGGACTCCTAATTTTGTTTTTCATTAAAGATAACAATACAGCAACTAACTAGCAGTCAACACAAATGCTTTAGTGCTCGTAGCATAGAATCAAAGGTAAATCTACAGATAAAATATGGTTGCATAATATTATTCAGTTATTTACTAAAATCAGAATGGACTGCAAAATATGAACATTGTTCGCACTATTTTACAATGTTCAGATTTTGTAATGCAGGCCCTGAACAAGGTCCACATTATGTAATTCAGGACCGACTGTTGCAAATTCAGGCTTTGGAGGCTTCAAATATGCAAATATTGGGCAAATAGAATGTCAAATTATAATTTCCTTGCACGAAAACAAGGGAACAATCATTTGCTAAAGTGCATCCTACTGGATGCATTCGCTCCATATTCAGTTTAAAATCAGTGCTTTTTAAATTCTCTAAAAGTTTGTAATTGAGATGTGAAAGCAGCAATTGTAATCCAGACACTGAATGCATCTGGGCGACTGCTGCCGGTTTGGACCCAACAAATTCCCACCACATTTGGCTTTAGTGAATATAAGAATTGTCAATGCGGTCAAAATTTGGCTAATTTACCTAATGTTGTCTCTCTGGATAAATTCCGGTGTTTAGTGAATAACCCTATAGATGATTTTAGTTTTGTTTTTTTTCCACCCAAAACATAATGGACTCATATTATGATTTCAACAGCAGACAATTCAAAGGTTTTGCAGCAAATTCTGGAGACAATTATAGGGACATGCATCTATTATGGTATAAACCAACAAACCCTTTAAACAAATATACAATCCAAACTAAAGCAAGGAAAGCACATTTATAAATTTACTATAAACAGTCAGATTGCATTATTGGTCAACTCTTTCAGCTGGGGAATCTGTTCTGACCCTCCCTTCTTTCCTACCCATCTCAGTTTCAGACAAGTCCACTTATGACGGAAACAAAGCATCATTGTACAGCAGCGGGAGAGACACTGGAGTCTGCTCTGCATGATCACACTGATCACACTCCCTTCTGTTCTACCCTGTCAGAATTTTGCATGGTGAAATGATCAAGTAACTATGCAGGTGTAAATCTGTCAAGTATGCCCAATGCACCTTTCCAGCATTCCTAGGAGTAGGACACTGATTAGTTAGACCAGTGTTCGCCCTTTAGTGGGTAAGAAAGAAGAAGCATGTAAATGTGACCTGATTTTTTTCAGCCTGCAGAGTGCGGCAGCTGTTTCATTCAAAGTTAAACTTTTTGAATGAGACGGTTATCTCAAAATAGGTACAGCTACAGTTCAATCAAGATTAAACAAACAACCATGGTGTTTTGTGCATTTTTATATGCATTATTATTTGTAAGGAAATCTAATTTGTTTTCCAAATTTTTTTGAACATATTTTAATGTTAACTTATGTCATATGTTTTATACATTCCCATATCCATCCCACCTACTCCCCCGCCTATATCTCTAGAGAAAATCCTGTTGCCTGCTTTCAAAATTCTTTTAATTTCCCTCCATCTCCATATTCACCATTCTTATTTTCCCAGCAAACAATTCAAACATTTTGTTATCACTATTTCCAACCATTTAAAATATGTCTTGTATCTGTGTAAAAGACTGACAGCTATATTAGATATTTGCTACTAGTACTAAATATCAATTTGGGTTTGGTAATCTACTTATGGAGATGTATATATTTCAGATATTTAAAATAACAAAAACATGAAATCCTGTAGGGACACAAAAGCGCTATTTTTCTTTCTATTAAAATATTAGATAAGGGGGGGCGGAGCCTGGCTTCCAGGCTGCATGGACGTGCTGAAACAGAGCTCCTGAGCATAATGGCACGATTCGGGGCAAAGACCCCAATAAAACTGCACACACAGCACCTGGAGGGTGACAGCATAGTCGGGGACACCCGGGCAAAACGATTGATACCAGTCATTAACTCGCTACTTACGGGAACCGGCACCAGCACCAAGAGGCTTACTCGAGACCCTGTAGGGTAGAGACGGCCGCTCTCCTCGCGGGCGACCCTGCACATAGCACCTCCACGCTACTCACCTCCTACCCCCCCCCCTCTGGACCGGCGGGGGTCATCCCGGTCCGCACAGTGTGTTCGGAGCCACCAGCTACACGGAGACGCGAAAAGAAGATAAAGCAGTGCTGGCGCCCACACGGCTCCCCCAAGATGGCGGGCGTCACCACGCTGCCTGCACTGAATCAGCTACAGCATACAATGATCCTACAAGACACCGCACAGCACCTGAAGGCAATATTCAGCCGCTTCTGGGCACAACTCAGAGACCGCATGAGAGCAGCACAAATCACTCAGAAACCTGCACGGATGGCAGGTAAGAGAGGCAGCTGGCGGCGGGGACAGGGGAGTGTACCCTTGGGCACAGCGACAGGCGACCCACACACCCCCAAACCACAGAGCCCACCCGGGCTGAAGGCCAAAAGGGAGAAGACCCGGACGCATCGCCCACAGGCAAGGAGGCTTTATCGCCGCAAGCGGCCAAAGCCCATCAGGCCCTCCATTGCCCCCGTCAGGGGAAGAAACTCAGGCTCCAGCAGTTGCAGAGTTTGTGGCACCGAGATGCAGGCCTACATAACAGCCTGGGGCTGGAAGGATATCTTCACACTGCCCACCGCTGCTGCAGCCTTCAACACCACACCAACCAATGCTCACTGTTTCACAAGAGACGGCATCGGCTAATAGAGACTCTCTACACAAAGTCTCCGGACAGGTCAGCGCCAGGCCCATAATCTCTCACTTTAAGCCTGTTAAACTAGGTGTCGAGGACTGACAACCATGGAGAACAGAAAGCATAAACACACACAACTCCGAACCACAGTGCTTTACAAGCAAACAGTAATGCTTAATGACGTGCAAATGTTATATTTTCTTTTATGTCTACTGTTATGATCTCTCATTACGCAACCTACACATTATACCTTAAGCGTCAACCAAGCATGTCAACCATATCATATCTATGAGTATGTATAGCGAAGTACCTCTCTTTTAATCGTTAATTTAGACATGTTGTGTTTAACCTATATTTATCTCCACCTAACATTCTGGCCACTTCTCTAAGCACCTCACAGGCCATGGTCACCACTAGCGATAACCTTTGAACACACACCCTGCAGTAGGTGCCCATATTGAAACACGAACAACTAAACTCTAAACGAACTTCTTGCATTGTTTAGCCCGGCACGTTAGTAGTTAATAGTTTTATGCTTCACATAACCCTTGCCACAAACCATGCCACAATATACGGCAAAACAAGCCAAGATAAAAACTTGACTTGTAAGCATATAGCAGCTATATGCGCGACTATTGAAATGATTTAGCTAGTATGTAACCTGCCATAAAGTGCTAGCTGCATTAAAACGGCTAATTTAGCATTGTTAAGCTCTAATTGTTGATTGTCCTTATTATTATTTGTCTCCTCTACTTTAACTTAGATACTATAACTGTTTAGTTAAGCTGGATAAAAATTATAGAAAAATGTGCATATTCTCATGCCACTGTCTAACATGTATTGATCTTGTTATACGCTGTTGTGGCGTTCGTTGACACCATGTACTCACCTGCACAATAAAAATAAAGAATTTTAAAAATAAATAAATAAATAAATAAAAATAAAATAAAATATTAGATAAATATTTCTGAAATTATGTATAAACATAGATATATATTTTTGCAATCATATTGTTTTCTGACAGGCAACTATAATATTGTTATAAACATATAAAATGTTTTAGCCAAAAGCTGCTATTACGTAAAATAACTTATGTATTTTGCCACAAATAAAGTGCATAAAGATTTAAATATGAGTTTGAATTATTTTTATGGAACATGATAAGAGGTGTATTTTTCATGTAAACATAACAATTTTAACATAATTTAAGCAAATTACTTGTAGTAACCACTAATCGTATATTTAAAGGACCAGTTTAGGTATAATAACGTCCGTGTGTGACCAGGAGGCTACTTACCTACATGCATGATAGCCCCGCCCTCTCCTAATCCCACTATGGTAATGAGTTTTCCAAATATCTGATGGAACACAGGTCCTCACGTTTTAATCAGCCTTCTCCCTTAAGCAACTTTCATCTACCTAAAACAAGCTCATCTTTTGACTCTGTGCTAAACTCATGGATTTGATTTAAAGGACCACTATAGGCACCCAGACCACTTCAGCTTAATGAATCTGGGTGCCTGGTCCAGCTAGGGTTAACCCTTTTTTTTTTTTTTTTAAAGAAAAACTGCTATGTTTATAATAGGGTTAATCCAGCCTCTAAAGCCTCTAGTGGCTGTTTCATTGACAGCCGCTAGAGGCGATTGCGTGCTTCTCACTGTGAAAATCACAGTGAGAAGACACCAGCGTCTATAGGAAAGCATTGTAAATGCTTTCCTATGAACTGGCTGAATGCATGCACGGCTCCTGCCGCGCATGCGCATTCAGCCGATGACATCGCTATGAAGGAGGAGAGGACGAGGAGAGCTCCCTGCCCGGCGCTGGAGAAAGGTAAGATTTTAACCCCTTCCTCTCCTCAGAGCCCGGCGGGAGGGGGGCCCTGAGGGTGGAGGCACCCTCAGGGCACTATAGTGCCAGGAAAACGAGTATGTTTTCCTGGCACTATAGTGGTCCTTTAATATTGTTCATGATTTCTGGATTGTTTGTTTTTTAATGGTTTGTGCTGGGATTAACCATCCTATTTGAACCAAGACTTATTTGAGTACTAGAAATACGGGGACTTCCTATAGGTAAGGGAGTGTCGAGAATACATTTTATTTTTTTATTCTACTGTTCAGTGTGTTTATAATAAGCTTGTCAGGGTGGAGTTCTTTTGTCATGAGGTGAATTGAACTGTTAAGCTGTTCAGTTGAATTATACATAAAACAAAGTAAAAAACACCTCAATCCACTTGAACAGTAAAAGCAAATTAACATGGGCTGTGCACTTGATCTATCCTCTATCACATTTTATACCTTAAAATACCTTAAGTTCTGGGGAAAAATGTATAGGAACTAACACAAGATTTTCACCTCCCCAAGATAGGTGAAATATTCTGTGTTTGCTTTGCACAGCGCAAGTGAATTTAATGACACACTTGCATGCGTTTCCTGGTTTTCCCATAAGCAGGATACCAAAAACAAAAATTTGGACAGGTCTGGCGTGTGTGTAAAAGGCTGTTTATGGTCAAGTGTGTGTAATGGGATCTGTTTGTGGTGTACCACATGTATAGGGGCTGTAGTGATTCGTGTGTAGGGCTGTAGGGTGTGTGTTTATGTATATTTGGGGTTGCATTGTGTGTATCAAGGAGCTGTCATGTATATGTGTGTATGTATGTATGTATATAAGGGTTGTACTGTTTGTGTGTAGGGTGAAGTGTGTATGTTGTATGGTTGTGAATGTTTGTGGTGGTAAAGTGTGTATGAGTTAGATAAATATGTATGGGGGTATACTGCATTTGTGTGGGTAGGTGTACTGTGCAGGGGAATTTACTGTGTGGGTTTATGGTCTGTAAGCATGCATTGTGTGTGGGGGGTGGTACAAGATCCAGCACACTCACTTATTCAGTAAACCACAGTTTCATGGCTCAAAGAATGTAATTGTTTTATTTAAAAACACCTCACCTAGGAAAAAACAATGGGACTTTAGTTACAGTATATGATCATACATTGCATAACCTACCACAATGTCAATGTACCCCATTCTTGGCAGGAATGCAATTGCAACTTCTAATGAAATTAATCCACTTACTTGTGAAATGCTCCCTCCTGAAAATCTCTGCAGGGCAAGGCCTCTTTGACGAATGAGTGCTCTGAATTTTGTATGTTGTATACATTATCCCCAGCAGCACCCTTATATATGCATGTTTAGGTTAAGTGCAGCCTCTTGGATATATATATATATATGGCATATATATATATAATACAAATCCATATATATTCTCCCCTCCATTGCAGGGAGTAGTCAGACTTCACTGGGCCATGAGATGAGTTATCTCTCTTGCGTCTCTTGCATTGGTACTGTAAGTGTTGGCACAATTGTCAAGATTTAGAAACAACATTCTAGGGACACTTTGATTTCAGGGACAGTTTCTAAGGAAATCATATGTATTAAGTAACACTAGTTTACTTTATATCTTAAAGGAACTTTTTAGGGATGTATGCACTTCTTGACACACACTCGCTGACATACTCACACCCACTGACACGTACATACACACACAATGACCCAAACCCACACAGACTGACCAATAAATGCATACACATACACACACACTTACACACACAAATACAGTGACCCATGTAGGCACATGCAGGCCTAAACACTGACCTATATACAGAAGCACTCCCTGACATATACACTCACCCATACGTACACACACAGACTGACCAATATGGACATGCACACACTCACTGACACTGTAATGCTCCTATTGTAAAGACTCCATAATCAAAATATTGACTGGCAGCTTTTTGGAAATTTTACTAATCAGTAGATGCTCTAGCATTTGTCTTTGTTTTTGGTTTTGTAGAGCCTGATTATGGACTAAGCACGCTAGACCAATACCTAACCCTTAACTACAGTGGGGGACAGAACTGTGGTCTCAAATGTGAGAAAGAGTTTGAGGACATCGTAAAAGTAATGTGCAGCTAGGAGTTTTCTGGTCCTGTTGCAAGGTAAATGCTCTACTTGAACTCCTTTTTGAGCCAGTAGCCAGTCTCAGCATGACACAGACTGGCCCATCAATAAACAGACTGACTCATCCATACACACACACACCTAGACTGACCCATCCATTCATATACACACTGAATGACCCATACACACACACTGAATAACCCATACTGACCCATTCATACACACATAGACCCATCCATACACACAGATTGACCCATGCAACAGGCCCGATTACTCCTGCTAGGCCCAAAGTTGCTGCACTGTGGGCCCCGCTGCCTACAAAAAAGTCCTTTTTCTGCCCCATGGGTGTGCTGGTGCTGCACCCATCGTGTGGCCCATGCATTTAGGGCACCCCCGTGAGCATTTCCAGCATGGGCCTGGTAGGGTATTGTGGCCCTTTAACAGTGTGAGTTAATGGCAGACAACTGGGTGGAAGTAACAGCCGTGAGTAACTTCCTCCCAGAGAGTGTGAAGCTGCGTTAGGCGGGGGACACTCATGTGTAATGGCAGAGCCACTCACTCTCCAGGGAAGCCACCTTCCTGTACCCAAAAGGTCGTAAACTGGAGGGTGGCTTTAAAAGTGTAAAGTGGCTTCAAAATGTGTGTCAGTATGTCTGTCTGTGTGTGTCTGTATGTGTGTCTATCAGTGTGTGTGTGCCAGTATGTCTGCCTGTGTGTGTATCACTAATGTAAAAACATTGAATGTGACAGCAGATAGCCTTCCAGCACATCTAGTCTGCCCAATTTTCTTAATACAGTTGTACTCAAAAGTTTGCATACCGTTGGAGAATTGGTAATATATGTACCATTGTTAAAGGAAACATGAGTGAACAGGCAAAACACATTTCTTTTATTTCTTATGGGAGTCATTTTCAACTGAAGGTTAGAAGAGAATGGCACATTTATAAAACAAAACTTGGCAACAAAGAAAAAAATGAAATGACCCCTGTTCAAAAGTCTTCATACCCTTAGTTCTTAATACTGTGTATTGTCCCATGTAGCATCAATTACAGTGTGCAGTCTTTTGTAATAGTTGTCTATGAGGCCCCTAATTCTTGCAGGTGGTATAACTGCCCATTCGTCTTGGAAAAATGCCTCTAGGTAATGCATGAACCGCACGTTTGAGATCTCCCCATAGTGGCTTGATGATATTAAGGTCAGGAGACTGTGATGGCTACTCCAGAACCTTCACCTTTTTCTGCTGTAACCACTGGAGGGTCAACTTGGCCTTGTTCTTACAGTTATTGTCATGCTGGAAAGTCCAAAAGTGTCCCAGGTGCAGCCTTCGTGCAAAGGAATGCAATTGTCTGCCAGTATTTTCTGATAACATGCTGCATTCATCAATTTTCACAAGATTCCCCATGCTTTTAGAGCTCACTCCCCCATGCTTCACAGTGGGGATGATATTCTTTTCGCTACAGGCCTTGTTGACCCCTCTCCAAACATAGCATGTTAAAACCCCCTCAGTGACTTACCTGAGTGCGCAGCCAATGTCCTTCAGCGCTGGGTCAGGCTCCGCCTAGGCTCCTCCCCCACCGATGCGCACGCGCATTAGACCTCCCCATAGGAAAGCATTGAATAATGCTTTCAAAACTTTCCAATAGAGATTTTGACGACGCTGGAGGTCCTCACATAGCATGAGGATGTCCAGCGTCATTTTAAACCATCATGTTCTATAAACATGGAAGTGTCCTCTAGTGACTGTCTAGTAGACAGCCACTAGAGGAGGACTTAACCCTGCAAGATAAATATTGCAGTTTATGAAAACTGTAATAATTGCACTTGCAGGGTTAAGGGTAATGGGAGTTGGCACCCAGACCACTCCAAAAGGCAGAAGTGGTCTGGGTGCCTGGAGTATCTCTTTAAGTGTACCACAAGCTGTAAGGCGTGTCAAGGTGTTGTCTGGCATATGGTAACCAGGATTCTTGGGGCATTGGCGCAGTTAAGGCTTCTTTTTGGCAATGCGACCATGCAGCTCATTTTTTTGTTCAAGTATCGTCATACTCATTTCCAGAGCAGTCTATTTTTCCTGAGGTTACCTGTGGGGTTTTCTTTGTATCCCGAACAATTCTTTTGGCAGTTGTCTCTGAAATCTTTCTTGGTCTACCTGACCTTGGTCTCAAGAGATCCCTGAATTTTCCACTTCTTGATTGAATTTTTAAGGCTTTGGATTTCTTTTTAATTGAAACTACGAATAAGGGAACATGTTAATTCCATCAGAGCCACCAATCTCACGCTATCTGAAATTACACCATGCAAACTCTGGGAATAAAATCAGGTTTCTGGGCATCAAATCAGTACCCCAACCACATATTGCGACAAAGGGAATCATATTGGATCTATAGACCTTATACATTTTCACAACAAGGTTTGAATGAGGGCTTCTGTAATTATGTAATATATTTCTCAGCAGTATCTTGTCCTTTACTTGGACTACTTAAGTCCTAAAAACCTTGTAATTATGCCTTTATCTATTAACTATATACTATTCCTCTCATGTCCTAACCAGATGCTCGTATGTCTATAGGCAAAGGCAGTTATGCTGAAATTATAAAGGGACAGTAGCATAGTTCTAGCATATCATAATATGAACAGTGTACTTAGACTCTAATAGCCTGTACTTACTATGTAGTTCCATCTTATTAAATTGTGACTGCATTAATGATGAGATATTGCTTTATCCCTATTACCATATTATGATGACTTTGGATACATCTGCACTGACTGCTCCTAAGAGTTCTATCAACCCACACGAGATAGCTGTCATTTATTATTGGGTAGTGATTATACACTTTTGCTACACCCCCCTTTACCAGTGAAGGGTTCTCTCCTAGTGTGTCATGGCTAGATAAATTATATCCTCCTCTCATTAACAGCATAGAACTGCTTACTGCCCTCAAAACATATTGTAAAGCCTGCTCCCATTCATTCTTTTGTTTATAGCTTAGCCCCCTCTATGAAACCCTTCGCTTTGGGGCTGACGGTAAACCCCGCTTATGTTTTACACACCCCGATGCAGGATCAATTTGTGCATGGAGGGAGTGTCTTTAGCCCACCTCTAACCTCTCCTTGTCTGTACGGTATATAGACACGTCCACTTGGAGTGCTGACCAATCGGACTTTTAAGGGGCGTGCTACCTGTCCGACGTGCCTACTCCTTGGCTCCTATTGAGGACAGCTGAAGGGAATTGGTAATTAATAGGTGTACATAAACAGGTAGACAAGCTGCCCACATTTATAATGGTATATTTTCACAATTATTATTATTTTTTTCTTTCATAAACCATAGTAGGGAGAGATAGTTTATACAGGCATTAAAGGCTTGCCCACAGTGCCGAGGTAACCTAGGGGAGAGACTACTCTGGTCTTTGTTCATTACACAGGTTTAACTCTTTTCATGTTACCTCTAACTCAGTATCCCCCTTTTTACCTCCTTTCTATACCTACCTATCCATTTAGGCAGATGTTAGAGGGTATTCGGGGGGACTTTAGAACTATAATAACTACATTATTATAATACAATTAGGAGTCACTTAGTGTCTCTTCTTTGTTCCCTCACTTCCTGGAATCTAGATTACTCTAGACCAGCTTACCCTCTTAGCACAGTTTAAGCACCTTTTGTTTATTCTCATTGTATTGCTTGTTTTTATGCATATCCTTAGAATAATTAAAGGTAGGCTCTCTTTCCCTCTCCTATGCTGGTTGAGCTCCGCTTTTAGTTTCCCCTAGTGGGATTCAAAATTTTTCATATATTCTTAAGTCAAGTAGTGGACAAGTGAGTGCTAGGGTACAGTTCTTAGAAAGTGTAGAGTGAGCACATCATTAGATGCATTTATGCCAAGCGCAAGGTGCTGTCTGCATAGTATGCCCTTTGCTGGCCAATCTGCATGATTACACCAGGCTGACCTACTTATTCTTTGGACAGATGCGTCCCCTTTTGAGCATGTTTGCCACTTTGGGCAGTTCTGGTTAAGTGATTCGCATCAGTGGCACAGCATTTTATTCTGGTCACCGATATCCTGCTTTGCCAGACACTACTGTTAGGGGGCTCAAAAACATGTAATAAATATATATATATAATTCGATATATTAGGACTACACAACAAAAATGGCTCCTTTACTTTGCCTGTCTGCCTTCCCCATTACTGTTTTTTTCCCTTTCTCTGGCAGGCTCTGTCTGCACACTGGGCCTTATTTGCCCCATTCCTGGCAGGCTCTGCTTGCCCCATTACTGTGTATTCCCTTTTCATTTGCAGGCTCTGCCTGCCCCACATACTCTCACTTACAGCATGTTCCAATGAGCTGATGATCCTGACGGGCTCTGGTGTATTTATTTCTCTTTGGGTTGTGTTATTTGTTTCCCCCCTTCCTGGTGGGCTAGGCTGCAGTATTAATGTGCCGCAACCCAATCCTCGGCTCTTCTGTACTCATTGGTGGTTTGCGGTGCACATCTTGGGTCTCGCATTTTGCGAGATCCCTGGCAGCCATATTGGCGCACTCGCATGGTAGCAAGTGCCGTGATTAGGGGCTGACCGCTCCTCCACACAGTGCCTGCCTGCATCACTGCTCCTGCTGGTGCTCGCTTCAGCAGCACATATCCTAACATTGGAACAAAACAGAGAAGATTAGCATGGCCCATGCACAAGGATGACACATGAAATTTGTGAAGCATTCCACAGATTCTATAAGGTTATACCTTTTAACAATTAATTCTACCTGCCTGGGTTTGGGGACCGAATTTATAGTCGGTGTATTGACCCTAGACGTTTTACTTGAGTGGTAGGTGCTACATGCCTTACTGGTTTATTACTAACATATAATTGTCCTGCTGAGGGGAGCCACAGTCATTTGACCACTTTTTATATATGGCCTGTACTTACTGTGCCTGATTTTATACTGCCAAACTGTATGCTTTGGCCAATACCTCCTGGTCCCACACAAACCACTGTCCTTTACGCCTAATAGGTATTGCTGTGGTCTGTCTGCCTAGGTTCTATTGCCCTTGTGGTACTTTACACATGAATGTGGTACTCTGTGAACCCCAGTGGCCTGTGATTATGATAGAATATGGAGGACTCCGGTAGATTTCCAGGTCATGACCAATGCAGCAGTGGCTGCATCGGTAGAAAACGGTCTTCTCTGTGAGCTCTAACCCCACTAAAGGGCATACTTGCCTCTACCATGAATATGGTGACTCTACCTCCTACTACAGAGAGTTCATGCCCACTAAATGCAACACGGTCATTCCTTGGAAGAGGACAATGACCTACCCCAGTCCCTTTAATAACTGATGACTGGCAAGCAGATGCCTTTGGATCGGATGATGACACTTGTGGTTTCACAGTGAGGTTTGTGAACGAAACCTTCCTAGGTGCGTCCCAGATGCTAGAGGGTGGGGATGGTGAAGATGACTCCTTCCCAGGTGGACACATAGGTCATTTTAGCTGCTACGGGCCAACCCATGTTCGAGCCATGCAACATATGCCACCCCTGCTCTGGGATTCTGACACCGCCTGACCGTCTCTAAAAATGTATGCACAAGAGGCCAAGAAAGCCATGGGAGAAGAAGGGCCACAACCATTTGCAGTCTGAATGTCTGCGGCCTTCATTGCCCTGATGCCAGAATTTTACTAGCTGATGTTGGCTTTCATGGCCTGTGGAGGACAAGAACCACGTTAAGGGGTTGGAAGAGGTTTCAAAGGTGCACAGGACAAGCTCTTGGATGCTGTTGGGCCCCTCGAATGCATAATGTGTCTGGCGGATGATGTCTATTCTTGAGCTGAGTCATTTGATGTAGGCAAGGTGCGTAAATGGGCACACAACATTAAAACATGGGCACAAAGGTGCTTCTATTTCCTCAGAAACATAAATGAAATACTCTCCTCGGAGAGATGCAAAACAGCACTCTTCCGCATTGACGGAAAACTGAGGCTAAAGAACCCAGCCTCAGGCACAGGACAAGCTCTTTGGGGAAGTCTTCATGAAAGCGCTGACTAAACATGTGAACGTTTTTACGTCCCTGTAAAAAGGCACAATCGTTCATGAAGAAACCGCCGTTTAGAAGATCTTCCCTTTCCAGAGATACAGGCACAGCTACTGTAGAACACCAAACCCCCGAACTGCATACAAGGGAATGCTCCAAACTCCCGAACTGCATACAAATTAGCAGGGCTGCCATCAGAAATTTTGGGGCCCCTGACACAGCTCAAGGTCTGGGCCCCCCGGTGCCTGCACCCGAGTCCGTCAGTCCCTTCCCCTCCTGAGTCCGCCCACAGGGATGCAGTGTCTGCAGAGCCGGTGCAAGGATTTTTAGGCAAAAGTAAAGTTTGCCGCCCCCCATGTGACATCACAATGCCCCACCCATATGATCTGCCATGTTAACTAACACAGTGCTGCCATGTTTACAATAAAAGGCCTGCAGGGACAGGCTATAGACACCAGAACCACTATATTAAGCTGCAGTGGTTCTGGGGACTATAGTGTCCCTTTAATGTTTGGTAAATTAGAGATTAGTGCCACGAATAATATACTAGATTGCCTACTTACAACCAGATGAGGATGATGATGGGCTCTAGCTGCCGTCTGGCTCCACTGGTCTGGTGTAGAACAGGCTCTCTGGAGGCGGTTTGTAACTGTGGTCACAAAAATCAATGTTCTGGGAGAACGGGAAGCAGCTCCATTTTTTTGAGGGCCCTTTACACAGCTCAAGGTCTGGGTCCCAGGGTCCACCTGTATGTTCCACCAATGAGTTTGTTCACAGGGGTGTGTGTATGTGGGGGGGATGTCCTGATGTGTGTAAGGAATGCATTGTGTGAATCTGTGTTTGTATGTGTAAGGGCTGCAAGGTGAGTTTGTGTATGTATGGGATGCAGTGTGTGCATCTGTAAGGGATGCACTGAGTGTGTGTAAGGGGTGCATTGTGTGTTGCTGTGTGTAAGGGATGCATTGCTTGTGTATGTGTGTCTGTGTGCATTGTGTGTTTTCTGTGTGCAAGGTGTGCATTGTGTGTGTGTGTGTTGGATGTCAATCTCTCCCCTGTCAATTTCCTTCTCCCCCCCCCCTTCTCCAATTTCCTTCTTCTCCCCCCTCTCCAATTTCCTTCTTCTCCCCCTCCCTCTCATTGCCTTCTCCCCCCCTCCCTCTCATTTCCTTCTTCTCCCCCTCCCTCTCATTTCCTTCTTCTCCCCCTCCCTCTCATTTCCTTCCTCTCCCCCTCCCTCTCATTTCCTTCCTCTCCCTCAAATTTCCTTCCTCTCTCCCTCAAATTTCCTTCCTCTCCCTCCCCTCCCTTCCTCTCCCTCCAAAGTTCCTCCTTCCTCTCCCCCCTCCCTCAAATTTCCTCCCTTCCTCACCCCCCTCCCTCCCTCAAATTTCCTCCCTTCCTCTCCCCCCTCACTCCCTCAAATTTCCTCCCTTACTCTCCCCCCCTCACATTTCCTCCCTTCCCTCCCTCTCCCCCCCACTCACTCCCTCAAATTTCCTCCCTTCCTCTCCTCCCCTCAAATTTCCTCCCTCCCTCCCCCCCCACACTCAAATTTCTTCCTCCCTCTCCCCCCACTCAAATTTCTTCCCTCCCTCTCCCCCCCAAATCAAATTTCTCCCTCTCCCCCACCCCCACTCACTCAAATTTTCTCCCTGGCACCCGGTGGGCGCGCGAGGGAGCACTCTCTGTGTGCTTCCTCTTCAGCTCCCTCGCGCACCGTACTGATGCCGGAGCCGGAAGATGACGTCATCTTCCGGCTCCGGCATCAGTACGCGGCGCGCGAGGGAGCTGAAGAGGAAGCACACAGAGAGTGCTCCCTCGCGCGCCGGCCGGGTGTCAGCAGGGCCAGCCTCTGGGGGGGCCCTGAGGTGACCGGCTGCTGGGCCCCCCAGGAGAAGAGGCTGGCCTTGTGGGTACATACCAGGTCACAGGGCCCCCTGCAACCCGGTATGTACCCACTGAATGTGGGGCCCGGACGACCTGAGCAGTCCGGGCCCCCCAGGACCGCCGGGCCCATGACAACCGTTGCGGTTGTCATGCCCTGATGGCGGCCCTGCTCAGACGCACACAACACCCTCAGACAGACACAGCTCCCTCAGACAGACAGCATCCTCGCTCACACAGCACACTCCCACACAAGCACACACACATACACACACAAAAATTAGAAACCTAGAATGTGACGGCAGATAAAAACACCCTCACACACAGCACCCCTCTTACACACACACACTGCGCACCTCACACATACAATACGTACAAATATATATATACATACACTACCGCACCCCTCACACTGCACCACTACACACATTACGCTCCAGATACACG